CAAGGAGACTTTACTGCGCTTTTCACAAACATGCGAACTCTAAAGTTCAAAAGCCACCTTCACAATTGTGTTTATCGCTGCCGTCAATCATAATTACGATCACAAGCAACGAAACACACAAAACGGATCGAAATCCACAAATCACAAACCATGACCTTTTGAACCCGTGAAGTAAAGTTTTGGGCGCTTTCCATTTAGTCAAAATTTCCGGAATTTCCGGTTCGGCGGTAAATGGAACACGTTTCGTCGGTTCGTCCCACTGGAAAATTCCCAGAAAAAGTGGAAAATCTAAAAAGGTGGTCCCGTTTTCCCGGTTGGAATTTCCGAACGGAATGTCGTGTTCCATTGACGTTTCTTGTAGTTTGTACCAGTTCCAGGTCCACGGTCGGGCACCCGGCCACGTACCGGGGTTTACGACCAAATGGAACAACTTTTTACCAATCGGAAATTCCACTTTTGCTACCACCGAAATTTCCGGGTTTTTTTCGTAAATGGAAAGCGCCCTTTGTTTCCTAAGAGGTCCGTTAAGATGATTGACAGCAGCGAAAAACGCAATCGTCGGTTGGGTTCTGAACTCCAGAATTCGCATGTTTGTGAAAAGTGCGATCCTAATTTGCGGTCCACAGTCTACATGAAAACGCACTATTTTTCCACAAGATGAAAAGTATTCAGTTTTAAGATTTTCCTCACGGTATTTTTCTCTAACTTAAAGGAATAAAATCCCTTGCATTTTGAGACCTAAAAAAGTTTAAAGATTTCTCGCTCGCATGTTGCGTTCACCAGCACGCACTTCAAACAATGTAAATAGATGAAACGATCGATAACAAATTTTTTACCTGATACCGATGTGAGTTAAAAATTCGCTCCAGTTCTGTTTGTCTCACCCAAGACTAGCTTTTTTAAGTTTCCATTTTGCGGTGACTTCAGTTTACATCTCCATAAAATGGTAAAAGAAATATCAAGAAACATCACGAGAGCTGAAAATTTTCAAAGGCATGTTTCTGAAACTCGCTAATCAGCTGACATCAATATAGCGTGCTTGCTGAATGGGCGAAAACACAGAATTGTGATCACAAGATCTTGTACAAATTTAATGACAAAAGCTTAGCAAGATACAGATACAAACAAAAGCAAACCCCCTGAAACCTCGACGTGGGCTACACTTGTATGCTCTACTCAGTCACCAAACCTTGTCAGTAATAGCTCCTATTTTCCCCAAGTCGCTGTCTGTGAAGCTCCCGGATGGGATGTCCCGGAGAAGCTTTAAACTTGTGTGCGAAATTCTCAGAGTTCCTATTTTTTTTCCGTGTCTTCTTTCTCCTCAGTATCCGAAATTTAGATCTCCAAAGTGGCGTGTGTTGCATTAAATAGAAGGAAATATTTAAAGGAAAAGCCAGTCTTCTAACATGGCAAAGTTGTCACGTCCCTCGCTTATGGACGTGCCTCACATCAGGATTCATCTGCCATTCATCGGCAACTGAGTTGTTCGCTTCACTGACTATGACGGCTTACAATCAAGTCTTCAGCCATAGTGTCGTCAACTGGTGAAATACTTTGCTCATAAATTGTGCTTCTTAATTGCTCATGTACTACATCGATCGATAGTTCACGAAGCAGCCACGGCGTTCCAAACCTGACGCTCACAGTCATCTTTTCAGTCTTTTAGTGTGAACCTACCGTGAACGGCGTGTCAGTTTGAATGCAACGCGAGCATTTCTCTGAGTTTCCCAGCGCCAACATCATCTAACTGACTTAAACTCGAACAATAAAAAAATTATAGAGTTACTCCCATGGTTGAATAGCTTCGAACAACGCAAATAGCCTTCTTCAGTTCGCAAGGCCTTGTGGGTTTTTCAGGGGGAGCGCAGACAAGGTACAAAAAGTATCCGTGCAAGGGTTCATGCAAGAGAAAACCCTATGACACCATTTGTGAGAACATCGTTTCTACGTACCAGACTCTCGTGTTTTCCCTCCCCCGGATGACCACTTTGTGACACCGACGACCGAAAACCCATTTTATGACTGGGCTTGCCGAGCAGCCCAGTAACTAAAAATACTGTTCTCTGAGCTTTCTTAGCCACAACTGGACAGACACCAACGATCACAGCGTACGTGGAAAATGACCATTGCTTTTACTGCGCTAAGTGGTAGCTGTTTTTGGAGCAGACATGTCTTACTAAGCGGACCTAAACCTCAGAACACAAATTGTACCGACATGTTTTCTACTGCAGTAACGAGACATAAACAACAGACCTCAGGTCGCCTCCGAACGGCGAATAATACAATAGTAAAATGTTTTTTTCAAATTCATGCCCCTGGTAAGTGTCTCATTTCATCAATCATGTCCAAGTTTTGATGGTATTCGTTGCATCGACAACACAAGCGGCCAAGTTCTCCTAAGCAAAGAATATTTCCTCTGATCTTCATTGCAACGATTTGACAAATCTTTTGTCTCTCGCCACTTTTGCTAATGCGTATCTGATGTCAATTCTTTCCATCGTGAATACCGTTTGAACACTCCAACTTTTCTTTGAGATTATGGCCACATAGTCCCATTAAACCAGATTGAAGTGACCTCCGAGACCTGAACTTCGATTGTATTGTACGACCTGAACTTCGATACAATTTAGTGGTTTCAGGAGCTAGCGGTGTAATGTAAGATATTCACTACGTTGTCCATGTACTATTGATTGACAGTTTTCTCGCCCCGCGCAGTTAATTTTTCCCTCGGGAGCCTCTCTACCAATTGGAAATATCCGCACTCACAGAGTGCGAGTTGAAATGATTTTCGGGGGCCTTCCGTGCTGGCGCTCCCTCACCCCTCGCGTTTCTCCCTCACGCGTGCCCGTTCTCTCTTTCGCCCACTACTTCCAAGGGCCTGCTACGCAGGCTATGTGGAAACGGAATCCGGGGTTTTTGGAATCCGGAATCCCGCGAAAGATTGGGATCCGGAATCCAGGTGGAATCCGGAATTCCCTGCTTGGAATCCAGAATCCACGACTGTCTTGGATTCGTTTACTCGAGGTGAAAAATCTTTGTTTCAGTTGTTGGTCTCTCTAGCATTTGATCATGAGCTATAAAAAACTGTCGAGGGTATATAAACAAAATTATTTATCATAGTCATGTTAAAATCTTTAAGAATAAGAGTCAACGATAAAAAAATTTTTGACGTCTCGATGACTCGCTCATCATTTTCAAATTCTAAAAAGTTAGATTGTTAAAAGTTCTTTATATATTAAGAATGCGTGTGAAGTCTCGTTGCACGTGATTAAAAACTACAATGTGGAATGTAGTGAGTGTTAATTAGGTACTAAATAGTTTCGCTTTTATTGAGTCTGATTGAGTGTTCAGTTTGGGTTTCTTTTCCTGGATAAAAAGCATTTCGTAGATAAAGCATTCAAATTTCCCACGACATTTCTTCAGTATAGTGAATTGTTCAGTGAGGTCTTTGTTCTTCTGATTGTGAGAGTCACGCAGGTGTTTTCCAATAGCTGAGTGCTTGTGTTCATCAATGCGTTGGAAAAGGTGTCGGCGAGTATAACCAACATAATCCGCATCACACAGATCACATTTGAATTTGTAAACAACGCATTGTTGAGCGAGTCATGGAAACGTCAAAAATTTTTTATCGTTGATTTTTATTCTTAAATGTTTATCGAAAGCGTCTGTTATTTATAGCATGTTAAAATCATTAATGATTAAAGTGATTTGTCTCATCGATGACAGCTTCGTTTCATCGCTTGTCTCATGATGGTCACAGCTTCAGTGACTTTGACGACGATTTCAAAATACTTTAAGCCCTCACCATATGGTCTAAGCGTGGTGAATGAAAATCATAGCCTTAGTTTTGAAACAATTTCCCTTAGTTTTACAAAAAGGTCTCTCGTTTTACCGCGGTCGTCGGCTTTTCGCCACCGGGGAAGGAAGTTTCGTTCGCCTTTAAGTTTCTTTGGAGAACTTAGATTTTGTACTACCAATTTTTTTTTTAGCTTTTGTAAACATAATTTGTTGTTCTGCTTGTTAGTAAGAATCTGGCAAATAGATGTTATCGTTTTTTTTCTACCAGTGTCTTAACAAGTCGGGCGTCGATGAAAGGAGTTCCATTGATACATAATTATTAGAATTACAAGTAGACTAATGAAACTGGATTAAATCTTCAACATTTATTGCTACTCAGAGTTTCAGGCTTCTTGGGAAGCAATCATCAGGCAACTTATGATCAACTGACAATCATCAGACAATAATCGGGCAACTGTTGCCTGATGATTGCTTCGCAAGAGGAATGAAACTCTGAGTAGCAAGAAAAGTTCAAGATTTAATCCGGTTTAATCAGTCTCACACTAGTATTCTGCTCTAGTTCAGCTATTGAGAACTTGTAAAGTCGATGAGGAATACGTTGTAATTATTAGAATTATGTACGTATCGTTATGTAATTTCTATTATAAAGCCCCCCACCCCTTCCCACTTATAAGTCTCCTCTGTTATAGGTCCATCTACAGTATTTGTATCGTGGGGAGAAGTCTGTACCCCAAACATACAAACCCCTGTAATACCTCTCGACTTAAAGGAGCTATATCTCTGTTAGTTTTCAACAAATCACTTTCAAGCTAGGCTTTTTCCAGTGGTGTCGACGGATTTTCGTAACACTGTCCTAAATTGTCCATGTCAAAAGTTAAACAATCAATCAATCAATCAATTTAAAAAAAAGGGTAAAAAGGTCCGTTCAAAACGTATTCTGATCAGCACTGTTACGTAGCTTGTTTTGAAACGCTTATTTACTCCCATTATGAGCACCCCGTTTATGCTCTCATAAAACCCCTTACGAAGTTGTATAAGCCCAGGGGTTGAAAGAGGAAGTCTACGGTAAGTGTAATTTCATACCCTGTCAGACGATATTTGGACGGAAATATGTTTTATTTGTGTCACGTTCTCCAGACACAAAAGCCAAAGGTCTTCAGACATCCTGTTTATATTTCTTCATTTTTTCCATCATCCTTTAAGAAGTTAGCGTCATTTCAAACCGTGCAAGCATATGTATAAGTAGTACTAGTAAGCTTACTTCTGAAGGCTTTTTAGTCACATTTTATGTCGTCAGAGAAAGTTGAATCTAAAAGTGCATAAAAACAACTTAAAATGGCACAGCGAGGTCCACCAAGGAGAATTACTCGCAAAGAGACTATTGTAGACCTTGCAAAGGATTTAGAGCTTCTCCGAGTGGACAGTAAAGATTATGGGGAGACAATGGACAGCATGGCAAAAGCTCGAGACTTGAGGATCAAAGAATTGAAAAAAAGTAATGGAACTTTACTGGAGGTATGCTTTTCCTATGTTTTTAAAACGTTCCATTTCAAATTCGAACAAGTCCCGCCAAGAAAATAAATACGCTGCCGACATCAGAACCTGGAGAACAATCTGTCCTAGGTGCAATATAGCGGGGACAGATCTCCTACGCTCGCCGTCGCGCTGGTTTCAACAATTTAAACTTCCGTCTGTACCTTTTTTCCCTGTTTACCTATAAGTAGCTTCAGCCGTTAGTTATATACAGTGTAACCTCTATTAAGCGGACACAAAGCCGGGTCCCGAAATTAACGTCTGATATTTCCCTTTATAACGAGCCCCTATTCAGCGGACACCTCTCTTAAGCGGACACCGGACTGGATTGACAACAGTAGTATTGGATCACGTCGTTGAGATACGTACTGTAGTCGATTAGTAAAGATAAATTAATACATTTAGCTGTCAAAAGTTCGCCTAAAAGTCTTGCACAAAGTACAGCACCGCTTCCTTAGCTTCCTTAACAACAGAAACTTTATCACAGTACAGACTAACCGTTGAATGTTAATTGTTAACAAACATTGCGCAAAAATGAGAGGAAGATCGTGAGAGACCTTTGCTAGCATGAAATGGTAATGTCTTCTTATGACGTTGGATCAAAAGTGAAAAATAAAAATTACCTAAGATAAAAAATTAACTACAACATGTATGTAAGTATTGTTTTCTAGTTAGGCGAAACTAAATAAATATAACAAGGTGTTGATTCGTTTTTCAAATCTTGATGTAGAAGATACCTGAATTAGAAGACCTCGTTTTATATCCGTGTACTTCATCTTTTTTGATGAAGAAAGAGCAAATGCTTGCTGGTGTAAACGTACATGAAATGTTATGCATTAAGGAGGAAAAGGGTTCAAAATAAAGCAAATTCATTGGAAGGAGATTAGAGGAAATGAACAGAGGAAAAGCATGCTCCCTTGTCTTAGAAAAATAGATTAAACGAAGGGCGCGCTTCTGTAGCACGAGCCTGGGGGGTACTCCCTATAATGGCCTACACGGGGGGGCTCCGCCCGAAAGGGGTACCTTTTTCGGGCCTCAGGTATATGAAAGGGGGGGGGACTTCACTAGTTGAAGTATATAAAAGGGTAGGGAGATCTGTTATTTGTGCCCGTGAAAGGGCCCAAAGCGCTGACAGATGAATTTTATAGCTTTAAAAAGTCGAGAAAACGTTCTATTTTTGTGATTGATCCCTATTTAAAAGACAGCACATTTACAGCAGTTAAAAGGGATGCAAAGGTCTAAAGAAGGTATGAGAAAGGGGTACGATTCCTCAATATAAGGTATACAAAAGGGGTACCTTTTTCGTGAAAAATGACATATAAAAGGGTAAGGGGTTGGACCTTCCGAGTGGAGCCTCCCCGTATAAAAATTTGTTGAGTACCCCCCTTCGAGAAGTAGCAGCTTGTCCCAAGCAACCAGTCCTTAGGATAAATAAGGGTATACCAGAAAGCGATACATATAAAAAAAGAAATGAATAGACGATGTTGTGACAAAATGTAAGAACGTGAGAACCCGGGATCTTCATTTCCATTTTTCTTGGGTCTGCTTTCATAATGAACAAATTCTTCCAAAAATACTCCTGATTTGGCGCTAAAGGAAGTTATTAGAAAAGTAAGAAGAACCAGGAAGTAAGGTGATCATGACAGTGTTAAGGAAGTGAATGATAACAATGATAAGTATGTCACGCAACGGGCTGGCTTTTGTCCAATACGTAAATCAAGTTGTCCGGCTATTGAACCGACATATAGTGTCGGTCCAGAGGTTGCATCGTCTGTTGTAAGAGAGTAAGACTGTATCCCTTTTGCTTAACGAGAGGTACAATTTCTTGGGAAAATGTTGCCTGAATGCTATTCATTACCTTGTTTGTTCTTGTAGGGTTACGACAAAATCCTGAAAGACCTTAAGCAAACTCGTAAGCGAAGACATGTTTTAAAGGACTATTATTCGAAAATAAAGGAAGTTCTTTCCGATACGCAAGAAATCGCTCTGCAAGAAGAGGCCGACTTTGTGAACAGAGCTAAAACATGCAAAAAGGATCTCAAAAAGAAGAAATTCACAGTTCTCGTAGCTGGTAAGCAGATTTAAAAGGATCGCTTTTCCTCATGTTTACCAAGAGCTTTGAAGACTATCACTTCCAAAAAAACCTATTAATCACAGTGAATGTACATATCCCTTTAATAAATCACTTTATTTGACTAAGTTAGCTACTAGAAATAATAAAATCAATTCCCCAGCCCAAACAATTTTACGCAAGCGGTAAAGCAGTGACCTTTCTATATGACGATATTATTAAACACTAGAGACTTTTTATAAATTCGACGACGAGAACAACTACGAGTACGAGATTTGACTTTAAGCACGTTCGCGTTTCTCAAAATATAGACTCCTCGAAAAGCTTCATTTTACCATTTTTCTCTAGAAAATTTAAGACTGTTATCTTCCGTGAAAGAGGTTACGCCTTCTCCCGATCGCAAAATGATAAAACTGCTATCAGTTGACATCTTGTTTCCGCCACTTCGCTAAGACCAGGACGGGAGAGGAAAGAACTGACAGCAAACCTTGTGTGACAAGCGTGACAATAATTTTGTTTAAATAACTTTCCGCCAAACTCCACTTTCCTTTAAACAGATCTTTTTGTAAAAGACCAGAAAACATTGATGTTAGAGAAGATCACGACAAAAAACGCAAGTAATAGCCCCTTCACGTTCGTCACGCACAAGCGATTTGCCGTCCTCACTAGAAGACGGGACTCGTAGTGAAGTGACGACGCCACCTCGTTTTTGCGCCAAAATGACATTGGCTATTGGCGAGCACTACTTTAGTATTGAGAAATTCTCGTACTCGTAGTGGTACTCATCTTAGAATCTAAAGCTCTCTAACGCTTACTGACGTAGGACGACTTTTAAGTTTAACTTTATATTCAACAGGGGAGACCAGCGCAGGGAAAACCAGCCTGATAAACCTATTACTAAATGAACAAGTTCTTCCAACTGGCCTACTGGAGAACACCCTTACTATCTGTGAAATATCTTATGGAGCCAAGCGAGAAGCAGTCGTACATTTTGCTAGAGAAGGAACGCCCTCTCTTATACTAGAGAATATCAAGTCTGATACCTTAAAACAGTACATCGAAAAACCAACCAATGATAAAGACTGGTGTAAAAAAGTTGAAATCAAGACACCTAATTCACTGTTACAGGTAATTAACGTATAATTTAACAATTAATGAATGATGGTGAGTATCTTTTGACGAATTATGGAGATCGAGGAGGGTGTTATCCGTCGACGACGTAGGCCGAGGCGGATAACACCCTCCGAGATCTCCATAATTCTTCATATGACACGAAAGCTGAATTCAATAATTGTTTTATTATTCATTCAAAATAATTCCTAGTTTAAAAACACAGCTAAAACTTGCTTACCTCCAACGATCCATCGATGTTAAGTTCATCTGTGATAGTGCACGTTTAGGGTTGTTCCGCTCCGCAAATATTCTCCAAATAGCAGATGTCGCTCTTCGAGTTTTACTTCTTGCTGTTCTTGTCTGTCTTTAGCTATTATTTTGCCTAGTTCTTACTCTTGAAACGAGTGAAATGTCCGCCATTTTTGTTTCACAAGCAGCAGCAAGCAGCAACACAACCTCGTCCCCAGGTCGTCTCGGTTAACGGTGCATTAACCTGCAAAAACGCTGCATTTTTGACGTCATTTCCTCGCTAAACGCAACTGGTTATGGTGAATTATGCATGTGCTTTTAGCCAATCAGAATCGGGGAAATATTTTGAATGAATAATAATCAACAATATTTACTGAGCCTGAGGTGAATAATTATTTTAGAATATACACACGAAGTGATCTCAAAAGAATCTGAAAGGAAACCATGAAAAAAAAAACGATTAGTTTGATTCAAGGGTGAATTCATGCGTGAACATGTAGCCGTAAACAGCAGATGCACAATAGGTGGATCTTTACAGTATTTTCAAACATGGCAAATCATACTTTAAATTTTTTTGTAAGCTTTAGCATCAACGATTGAAAAGAAAACGTTGAAAGTTTAAGAGCAGTTGTCTGTAAGATTCGAGCTACATTAAAAAGGCGCTGCCACACTATCTCACCGAATTGGCTAAAAATTGGCATGTAGACTTGATTTGAGGTCTTTAATAAGGAATAGGTAACTTTAGGTTCTAATTCCTCCTATTTCGGAAATTATCGACATGGCCGGTTTTTGGGTGCCTCGGACCGACGCCATATTGGTTAATAGAAGCTGCTTTTGAGCCTTCGACTACAACCCTGTCTTCAAAGCTAATCTTCCTTTGCCAATACAGATTGAAAGAACAATCCCTCTTTATTGTATTTTTAGAAACTACTTCGAAATTGATATCGTTTTCGCAGCGATCGATTAAACTTTTGGTGGGTATATTTTTTGAAATTTTTACACCCGCAAAATTAACAGAATTTTAAAGGCGTATATCTCTTTTGCCACATCGCATTGAAGCTTGCTAATCTGCCTGAATACTCACTGTTTGTAGTTAAATCGAGTTCGTTAATAAAAAAATTGGGCAAATTTAACGGAGCAGAAACAAAAGTAATGAATGGAAGAGTGTTCTAGCGACTTTGTCAATAATCTGTACACCGAATACTCGCCAGGTGTTGCCAAAATTACAATCGATAATAGAGTTTCTGTCATTAAATCTGAGTGATCTGTGTAATAAAATTAGCCTCTGTAATATAATCGATAACTCTGCTGCGAAAAACAGTATAAAAAAGGCAGATTGTATAGGGAAAAGGAAAAGGAATTTGTTATGTTTATGCTACGACGCGTAAACAAAATTCAACCATCACAGTCGAACAGGAATTTTCCTGATTTTCCTCCAGTTCCTTTATCGAAACCAGAGCTTTTAAAATTAACCATAGTAGTGAAAATTGAGATGTATTACCTTACTCGACGACAAAGTTGCCAGTTTCCACCTTGATCGAAAAAAAAGTAATATTTTCCCACGCATATCGCGGGTCGTCACGTTCCTTGCCTGGCGTTACAACTCACGTGAAACCGCCTGGTTTCAAACAACTGAACTGAAGAATCCGTGAAAATCTTAGCCAGGCAATAAATAATGGAAGTTGATATAAGTTATCATTATTAGTGAGCGAGGATGCGATGATATTTCCAGCTACATGTATTTACAGCGTTTGAAGATTCACTCAAAACTCATGAGACATGAGCCCTTGAAATAAACATCATTAATTCCGGTTTTAAAAATTGGGCGTTGGCAAAGTAATGAATAGACTCATTCTACCTTGTACACCGTTAACAACGGTTCCGTGTACAATTTTCAGGTATTTTGTCTCAATCACGAAGCCCGTTTTGAGGAGATTCTTGATAAACAGAAAAATTGGTTTGGAAGGGGTTAAGAAGAATGAGGGATCAGCCCGGGACAGCAAAAACCACAGTCACCCGACCGAAGGGCTTTAAAACTGTGCGCAAATGTCTCACCCTATATTTTAGGGACAATTCCAACTTTTCGTTTCCTTGAAAAAGCTTAAAATCGCTAGACAATGCATGGACAACTCAAGACAGTCCTAATTCAAAATAAAGTAAACAGCAAAGAAAATTCAGTTAGCGACCAGAGTGTTTATCCGATATCGCGAACAATAAGGAGTGATTGAAGATGTGTCTGCAGTTTAAGGTAAAATCATTTACCAAGCTCACGGACCTTTCGACAACATAAGTGTACCGATTGACGTAATATCAGTGGTAAAAAACGAACGCTTTTTACTGTAGGACGATGACGTCATCATACAAAAGGCGCCTTCACTCTGGCATCCAGAATTTCAAACTATCAAAACCTAATTTTCTCTGCTCGTCAACTCAAAAACGCCTCTGAGGGCAAGTAGTGGTAATGTGCTTGTTAGTAAGGTCCAACATAAGGAGACATTCATAATCAACTCGGTTATTAATGCATGGATAAAGCGAAACTTTCTCCTTTACCCTTAGGGACAGAGTTCAAAGGCGCAAAAGATTTTTAGTTCAGCTCTGGCATGTGTTGTCTAGCGATTTGCCTTGAGCTTCTCTAAATTTTCCAGATCAAACAAGCTGTGCCGATCGTATATAATCTTGTCTGGGCTCCCTTGAAAAATTGCACTTCATCAGATGCCTTCAAGGTCATCCTCCGCCGCGAAAACTTCGTGATCTATTTTAATGGGTGGTTTTCTGGAACTATCCTATGGCTTGTCCTTTCTGGTCGTCACTTTATTAGCGAGCACGTTTCAATTTCTCTCCAGCAAAAGTCTCTATCAGGAGCGTAGCCAGGATTTTCCAGGTGTGCGTAAAATTTCCAAAACTTACCCTAACATCTTACTCAGTTCTCTCGCAACGTTTCCCCATTACATTTGCTAATTCTGTTAACTAGGTGAGGTTGTGCGTGGATGAAATGGCACTTGCAATCGGTGAGAAAATTAGGTTAGACACTTTACCCTCAAGGACGACTATCACGTTTTGCTGACACTTCTACCTTAGAAGAGATAAGTGAAGCTTTGCCTTCCAAACTCTGTGTAAAAAAATGTCGTTCGGCTGTTCAAACTACTTTTAGAAAACAAAAAACTTCCCAACTTTAATTTTTAATAAAGGGATAAGGGCAGGAATCCAAATTGTTTTGGAGTATTTCACTGATTTTAACACGATGATTCTGAAGTAGTGTCTAGTGAGTACGGGGCTAATGCCCCATCGTAAAAATCTGAAAATGAAAACAAAAATCTTGTATAACCAAGTAGTACACAATTTTAGTTATTTTGTTGAGTTGTGAAAAATCACAAATTTGTTTCTTCTTGAATGTGTTATACTCTCATCCATTCAGTCTTTCCGATATGCCCGTCGGATAGCGGAAGTTAACGTAAATGATCGATTACCTAAAAAGAAGCTACGATCCTAACTTTCCACCTTCGGGTCTTTTCCCTCGCCATAATTTTTCCCTCAACGAATTTTACTCTGTTTTACATAATAATTGGTCTTGCATTCAGCTCATCGATTTTGAGAGCCTAGTCCTGTGCCGTATTCTGATGCGATCTACTTTATGTAGCTTTCCCCCCATCTAACAGCTCCTTACTGAACAAAAACGGTTTTAATTAAGTCTATTCAAAGAACTAGCCAATATTTTTCCAGCGGTAAGCACGATGTTCCTAATTCCCCCTAGTCCCCTTCTTAGACGCTTTCATGTGCATCAGGTGTTAAATTTTCTTTTCATAAGCTACAATGCTCATAATCGCGCATTGTGATGTCATTTATGCTTAAAAAATAAAGATTAGTTTATCGAAGAAAGAGTAACAACAACAACAACAAGTTTTATTGAAAATTGGAAAATAACTAATTACATTACTTTCCCACCCGCAAATAGCTTATGAACTAATCGAACCGGGGGGAGCTGAAGACATATTACAAAACAAGATTTATATATAGATGGACTAAATAACAGTGAAGACACTACTATACAGTAAATAGAATTTAAACTAACTTAAAACAAGGCAAGTACATAACGATTACGGAGAGAGGCTAACCTAAAGTATTAAATAACTTAATAAGAGTTCATGAACTATTTGACGCGGTCCTTTTCTTACGGCTTATGTCCGTTGGTGAAATCGCTACTTGGGTTTTCTTGGATTGAAAAGGGCGGGCTCTTTCTAAACGTGGCGTTGTTTATGGGGCCTTAGTATTCAGAACAGAATCAGTCGATGGCAAACAACGAAAAGGCTTTTATGTCGTAAGTTACAGTGATGAACCTTGCCTCGAGATGGTCATATTTTTGTACATACCTTCATGCAATTCAGTGTTGGTCTGAAAAGTTTTTGTTATGGATGGGGGAAGGGTGGGGGGGAGATCAGAACATGTACCTCGTGTTGTTTACGAGACATTAAAGTAATGAAAACTGTTAAACAGTCGTCTACTAATCAAAATAGTTGCAAATACTTACGGGAGGCCCTAACTATATGATGATTAGAAGAGCAATATTTGGAAAGGTGCATGGTCGTGGAGTTAAGGAGATTTGACTAATCAACCAATTTCCCGCCAAACATAAGGGCGTGGCCAGTGGCCCCAAAATTGTGTTCGCTCGCTCCGGGCTGGCTCGACTTTTGGGATATGGTTATGGAGTTATAAACAATGAGTTCATCATCTATATAGCCTACTCGCCCCAAAGTGACTGTATTTCGCTTTTCAGAGACCTATCAGTTACTGTATGACCCTCTCCGATCAGATTTTATGTCCGTGGTACTGGTGGTGAGGTCAGTCCACAAGCAGAGTCATGAAAAACACCGCCACTTGAGCCTTTACATTCAAAACATTCCTGGCTATCGGGAAAAAAAGAAGGAGCTTTTAAAAATACTAAATAAAATGTCATTTCAAATTTCACTTTGTCACCGTTCGAAAATTATTGTGAATCAGACCGAATGAAAGTTCACTCAAAGAGGGGGAGGGGGGAGGAGGGTTGGTAGTTCTTAACAGTTCCAGTTAGCTAGAAAATTAAAAGTTACGAAAAAATACTGGGCGAACTGCCGAATACATGCAAGAATGAAAAAGAAAATAGAAAACAACTTCCTGTTCAAATTCGGGTTAATAGCGTCAAGAAGACTGAACTTGATTGAGGTTGTTCATTTCAGTTCCGTTACAGCGTGCCGTTCCTTGTCCTCCTAAAAATAGCTTCGTCTCCCACCGATCATTCCATGTCACATTTTTCGGACTTATTATTCAGTAATGACGGTACGATCAGGTAATTTGACTTGATGAGTTCTTTAATTTCATTTCATGTACTAGTTTTATATCTTACGCTGGAAAGATCTGCCAAACAGTGTACATTAGCAAAGGTAGGTTCCTGTTTACACGTGTAATTATCGAATACCATACAATTTACATAAAGCTACAGTGCACGGTTGGTTTTTCTAGCCTTTTGATAAAAATTGACAACGTTTGCGTTATCTTTGCCTAAGAAAATATGTAATTTGTAGCTGTATACAGCGAAATACTACAGAGAAAATTTTAACTGTGCAGTACACGAGCGGCTCCCGATTGGTCTGGCAAATCGAAGAGCGAACTTGAGCTAGTACCGTGTATAACAAGATTTATAATTTTCATTTTAGCTCATATTTCAAGCTCTTCGCAGGATCAGAATCAAAAGATCATCTGTTTACATTACAAGGGAGGGTTTTTTAAGCGATAGATAGGGTTTAAGAGGCGCGATCAATTTTTAAAGAATTTTCTTTTCAAATATTCACCGAATTTTGTTTTGAAGTTTTAGCGGCCAAGTGGCTGAACCACTGCGCATTCATGCAATCATATTTCTGTTCCGTTGCATTTGCCCAATTATTTTATTCAACAGTCTAACTTAGCCATAAACAAACTATGTTTAGTTAAAACGGCTTAATCTAAATCGATGTGGCATAGGTGATATTGGCCTTCCAATTTCTACCAAAAAGTACCGAAAAAGTGCTGTGAGAAGTTATAGCCGTTCGTAGCTCAGGCTTAATCATTTTCAGATAAGAGTAGGTAAATGAAAGGAGGAAGGATAGTTCTTTGCAACTGTATGAGTCACGATTAAGTTATTTTAATGATAAGGCTAGAATTAATTACTGTAAATCTCCTTCAGTTCATCAACATGGCGGCCGCTCGAGGCCTCGTCAAAACTGTCATTCCTGTATCTTTGAAACCAAAGAGAATTCGAACCTTAGAATATGCATTCAGTATTTAGGACACCATTCTAAGACTACATGCCAAAAATCAGCCAAATCGATGAGGTAACGTGTCAGGCCGAAGTTCGAATTTTACAGAAAATCACTCTTAAATAACTCCCCGTTATGAGAAGAAACACAGAGCTTTATCTGCTTCTGTCAACTCACCGTGAGCGTTGTTTATCTGCAGTACAGTGCTCCTTGCCATGTTACAAAGTTTGCTGGCACGTACGGTTTTCCAAAATATTTACTTTCCCTTTTTTCTCCATAAATTAACTTCTATTTCCAGGCAAAATTGGTCTTGCGAGGAAATCCCGAGTTCACATAACAGTGACAAAGAGGCCTCCTTTTTCTCTGTAGTGGTCAGTAGAAACATTGCTTCGAGCGTATGAAAGTCAAGTACAGTAAATCACTTCGCAATATAATCACGCTGTTTAAACACCATGAAGTCTTTTCTAACCTTCAAAATCATCAACTCTGGGATATTCTTGTATTTTAAAAAAGTCCTTACTCTGAAACTTGGCAAAACACCCAGTTCACAACAGCGATTTTGTCTTGCTTGTATTCAACGCCTAGCGCGGTGAATATAACGTCTTGTTATATTCCTAGACTTTCACTCAACTAAACAGGGACTGCCATTGGTTGATTCTTGGTCACGTGGCCTTGCCTAAAATCAAATGTATCCCGATCTTGATACATCAAGCATTGTATCCCGCTCGGGCTACATTACAGCACGTGATCAAGGCATGGTAGAACGTAGGTGGACAGAAGGCGGGAAAACGCTGCCAGTTTTCTTTTTCGTGAATGAACACAACAACTTGAACACAAACACGAAGCCTCAAGCTAAAAAGCAACGATTTTTCAAGTCATACCAGAAGAGAAACAGCAGCTAGTGGAGGAAAAAGGTGCAGATAATATAAGGAAAGTACTTTTGTAAATCATTCATTCAGTGGTTTTAAGAATTAAATTTGTGTTGTTATAGGTACCGAGTCGACTGTTTTGGTTCGCCCGGTTATTCTTTTGTTGCTGTTAAAGTGAAACTCTAGAAATATAACAAAACACTTAATGTCAGGTCCCTGGACAAACCAAATAGTTTTGTTTTCCCTCGAGTCCTGATGTTTCCCTCGACTTCGTCTCGGGAAACATCAGGACTCTCAGGAAAACAAAACCAACTGTCTCCCTCGGGATCTGACATTAAGTGTATAATTGTCCGAGATAGCGAACCAATCAGATTGCTTGAATCACCAAGATCACTGAGTGTGTATTTGACAATTATTCCTCAATCCCGAATGGGCTCTGAGGCAATGGCCTATGAGGCCGAAGACCCAATGAGCAATTGACTCAGAGGCCATGAGGGTGAGAGGAATAATTGTTTTAGTAAATTCCAACTAGTTGGTCAAAAATATCGAGACAAAAACGCGATTGATTTGGTTTTCAAAGACAGCGCTTTTCGCTACTAGTGGGCTATAACATATAGCCTATGAGTAGCTCAACCAATCAGAAGCAGCATTGATGATAGACTACTAGTTGGACTAATAGTCAATGGTCAGGGAAGTAGCCAGCCAACAGAATTGTAGACCCGGGCCTACAACTGTTTGGTTTGACCACTCTACCGCTTGTTATAAATTATGCGATGTTGGGGTTGGTTAAAAAGCTAAAGAGGTCAAATTATTGGTGAAGTCAGTGCGTACCAGTCAAATGAAAGTCAGTCAGGCCTACAGCTAGTCGAAAACCTGGCTACCCTGATAGTTATGGATTCAAAATCATTTTGTACGTTTTTGATAGATGGTAAGCTTTTAGCAATTTCTTGAGAAGTAGATAACTGTCTAATTTTGACAAGTACTAAGAAGAGCTTTGCAGTTCCTTGGTGTAACTTCCAGCACTGTTCCCGCTTAATTGTTTCTCTTGTAGGGAGGCGTGGTCATTGTAGACAGTCCGGGCATTGGCGATTCGAAGCAAGTCTGTAGCATTGCGTTGGAGTTTTTGCCACAAGCCTTTGCCTTTATCTACGTAATCAACAGTCCGAATGCCGGAGGAGTTCACGACGACAGGGTAAGTTTAACATAGCAGCCATTTTGTAGTGACGTGTTCGTCTTAAGAAAGTATAGGAAAAAACGTTTTGGAGTCCTTTATACTTATGCTCATCCCAGTTTCAAAAGGATTCTTATACAAGCTGGTTCATTGACGTTATACCATACCTACCGGAGGGATGGACAGACCGAAGCGTAGCATTTGCGTTTTGAGCGAAACTTTAATTACCTTCCAGTGAGGCAGGACTGGAAACAAGAATTTCTGAAAACGAGAGGGTACAAAGTTTCGGTTGGATCCGACCGACCGGAGAAAGCACCATTAGAATTGAACCTGCGCTTTTAACGAAAAATTTTTCAGGTGCACCAATGGGAAGCCTCTCTTGTATATTTGGACCAATATTTCAAAAACAATGGTTTGGTGTTTTATTTTATTTTATTTTTTTAGCTCATGCGTATTGTGAGGGAATGGAAAAAACTCTACGGAGAAGACAAATGCAAGGGCCTCACTTCTGAGTCTGCTTTATTCGTGTGCAACAAGTGGGACGACGTGGAAAGGCAAACAAAGACCAATCCCTCAGACAAAGAAAAAATTAAAAATGAAATCATCTGTAAACTTAAGAAGGAAATCCCTAACCTAAATGAGAAATCCCAGGTAATTGAAATGTCAGTCTTCACTGCGGCCGAAATCCAGCAGAAGTTCGATGTGATGAGTGATGATTTAAGCAGTCTAATAAATGGACTACGACGCCTTCTTCCAGTTTGTCTCGAGAAGAAAACCGAGCACTTCTACAGGTAATTTGAATTTTTCGGGAGTGATTAATATGAACACCTCTTCAGTCGTCAATATTCCTAGTTTCCGTGTGACATCACCGTAATTTAAAATCGAAACTTGCCAGTTCTTCTAAGTTCATTATCTTCGGACATAAAATCCCCTAAAACTCTTTAATTAATTTTTATCTTTGCATCAATCACACGTCAATTAAGTGCGGCGGAAGAAGTAAAGGAGTTTCCTGTTATAGAGCTGCAACGTGGAAAAAAGCAGCAAAAAGAAATGACTTTGAACAGTTAATTGCGGGATTTTCTCCGTGTTAAGGTGTGAAAATTTAGTAAACAGCTGAAACTATCAACAGCACAGATAGGCAGAGACTTTTTAAAAGAGTTTTGAGCTACTTATTAAGCAGACATAATCATTCACTAAACCCTTGCTCGTGTCTACAGTTACAGAAAATATGTGAGGATATTTGTAAGACTTACGGACATTCGTGTTCCTTTAAAATGGGGTCCTTTTACTGACAGACTTCTCCGTATTTTAAGCTGAAACCAACTTTTCTTTCACAATTCACCAGAATGAATAGTGGCTGTCTCAAGTCCTTATCGGATCAGGTGAAAGGTGAAGTTAACAATGCAAAACGGACCCGAGAAGATCGACTCAAAGCTCAAAAGGACGTTGAAGTAAAGCTGCAAAAACTCAAGGACGGCGCCTTCATAAAGGAGACTGACGAAGCACTCTCCAGGCACGTGAAGAATATTTCCGCGCAAGTCAAGTCCTATTTACAACAGGATGAAGTGAGAAGCGCGTTTTGCACGTGGGAAGAAAAGGATCTGCCGCAAATCGACGACAGTCAACGAGGGAATGTGGAAAGACTGAAAAATATTTACAAGCAATGTCTTGAACAACGGTTCGAAAAAATTCTACAGACACTGGAAAAGAGGAAACAGCTATTTTCCAAAGCTCACGCTGACCTTGAGCAGAGATTTCGTCAAGGTTTCTTTGAATTTGAGAAAGACGTACGAGAAATCGATCAGGTCCTTGTTGGCGAATCTACGGAAGAAGTATTATTGCAAATTGAAGACCGTCCTCCCTTGGACGCAAGAGTTAAGAAATTCATTTTCCTGACAGGCGTCGTTTTCATGCCAGTTCTGTTCCCCATTGGTGTGGCTGCGGGTGTCTTATCCGCACCGGTAATTGGATATTTGGCCGTCGACAGAATCCTGAACGAAAGGCATCTGAGAAACGATTCCTGCGAAGTCCTAGAAGAACTATCCACGCTTTTCCTTCAGAGAAACATTGATCAAGTAATTTTCGATCGAGTTTCGCAAGAATTTACAGAAGAGGGGGGACGCATCTCTAGCATCAAGAGATACTATCAGGAGCTGCTTGAGAAATATGAGAAGAAATGCCAGGATCTCACCAAAAGCGAAGATGAAGATATACGAAAAGGAACTGTCAGGAAACTTAGTCCTTTGCACGCAAAGCTTGAGGAAATAAGTCAAAACCTAACCTTTGATGCCATTCAGCATGGTATAAATGTGATGTCTCCTGGCTGCGAAATTGACAAAAGAACTCTTAGTGAAAAAGAGAAACTTGGAGACGGCTCTTTTGGCGAAGTTTACAAGGGAGAGATCAGCCTTTCAGGGCGTGAAGGAACTAAAGAAGTAGCTGTCAAAAAGCTGAAAGGAACTCTTCAGGCGTCAAACGTTGCGTCCTTCCTCAAAGAAGCAGAAATATTGATGTAAGCGAGTTTCTTTCACAGAAGAGTTAATTCGCCCTAGGCTTATAGTCGATTCACTTCCGTTGACGACCTTCCTTCTTCCCATGTCTTTGGAAGGAACTGTTGGAGGAGGGAAGGGAAAGGGGGCTCTTCTTCGTGTTCGCGAACGCCACACTTTCCCAGGGGGGTTACGTCCTTATAAGAGGCTAATGGGGAAGTGCCGCTAGATGAGGTCGCATTGTCACGACTGGATTGACTATAATGGGGTTGCATTTTGAATAGAGTTAATAGAATGGGGTCGCACGTTTTCGGATTTTTGGGGTAAGAAAGTTCAGTCTTCATATTTACGGTTAGCAAACGTACCAGAATGTTTGTACTGTAGGTGAAAAGTAAACTGTTCTTCATTAACCTTAAAAAATGGGTCAATTCATTTTAGGATGACCTATTTAAAGGATTGATAAGGAAGTGTCTAAGTTTGGATCGAGAAAATTACATTTGCCCAAAAGTGACTTAGATGAGGTTTATAATTGGCCACAGAATAGACTACAATGGGGTAGGATTTCTACTCAGCAAATGTTAACCCAAGCACCGCTTTTACCTGCGATCATATTGAAATAAGAACTAAAATAGAACTAAGCTTTGATTCTCGGGAAAAGGGTTACTTTTGCGTCTTGGAATAATAGTTTGTAGACTATTTAAAGAGATGAAAACTATTTTTTTGCAGGCAACTAAACCACATCCATATAGTGGCGTTATATGGAGTAGTTATGGATGTCCAGAACTACCAGCTGCGTTCCTTGGCCCTCGTCCTTGAGTTGTGCAATGAAAGTCTCAAGAATCACATCTTCAAAAACAAGACAAAAATACCGTGGGAGACAAACAGCGCAGCAGTTATCACATGCCAATGGGGTATTGACATTTTAGGTGCTCTGGACTTCATTCACGGCAAGAACATCGTTCATCGGGATCTTAAGCTTGCTAATGTTTTAGTAAGTCATTTCAATTACTACACGATCCAAAATTCTCCCTGCAGCCTTTCAAACCGTGGACGCAAACGATTAACCTTGCATAGTCCACTGTTTTTTTTTGTGTGTGTGTGTGTACACTGGACCCCTTGTTGTAAACGATGTCCTATGTTGCTACTGAAATGGAACTTCTGCTTGTTCCGCTCAGTAACGTGCAAATAATGGTTAAAATAACTCGCATGGACTTACTTTGCGTGGCCATTATAATATTTTAGTGGAGTCCTTCTCAGAGTCGACAATTAGGGGCGCTGACCGCTGAATGAATCTACAGGGGCAAGTTTTCCCTGAAACATATCGCTAGTTTAAAATAAAGCGTCAGTCGTCCATATGACCAAATTATACCTATACTTCCTCTTCCACAGGCTACTCAGGGCGTGGTGGGGAGCACGGACTTGGGTGCCGGAGACAAGAGAGAAGGGCGAGTGTGGGATGATGGGATTGATGGGAAAGAGCACAGAGCTCGAGGGGGAAGTGATGGGAAAGATTTCTCCCCATCCCATCACTCCCTTTGCTCCCGCTTTGCTTAAAGATTAACTCAAATATCTCCAAAGAGATCGCAAGCGACTTGGGAGGAGGAAGTAACTTACGAATAAAACTTTGTCAAGTAGCCTGCGATTACAGCCGCCTCCATCGCTCCCCGTCACGAAAAGTTCCCAGCGACGGTGAACAATGGAAAGCGGCTGTATTCGCAGCCGATTTGTCAAGCAGTAAAGTAAAAAGCTACCCAAACTACTTGGAGCCCCAATTCGCCACTGAAGAAACAAGAAGGTGAACTGCAGCCAAAATGTGTCCAGCAATTGTTTCTGGGATCGTTACTGGGAACGGGCCGGACAGCTATTGGCCAATTTTATCTCTGTCCCGAGTAACAGTCCCAGAAGTCTTAGGGAACGTTTACTCGGCCCAGTTCCTTTGCCGTTTTTGTAGTAATGAATTTATGTACGATCAGGTTGTGTCAATTTTTCTGACCATAGGAGGCTATTTTCCGAGTTTCCAAAAACCATTTTATGTTTTAGGCTTAAAAACGTTCATGTATATGGTTGAAATGACGAAAGTTTTGGTCACAATAGTCTTGAGTAAAAAAAGAGTTTAAACAGGTGCATTTATACGCAAAATAACGAATAATAGTCAAAGAGAAATAGTTATTTTCATCAGACTGAGAGATAACTAATATTCATTCGTTTCGTTATGGTAAATTTGCGTAAAAACTATTTCTCCTGACGGTTTCTTAACATTCGTTTATAGATTACCAAACGCGAGCAAATCAGAGTGGCAGACTTGGGGCTGGCCACCTTTAAAACCCTGATAACTGGAACATATTGTGGCACACCACGCTACATGGCTCCAGAGGTACGCCTCGAACAGAAAATCTATGATTCCAAAGTGGACATGTACAGCTTTGGATTGATGATGTGGGAAATGTGGTTTGGTGAAAGAGTTCTTCCTGAATCGATCTCCACGAGTCAAGACGAGGTTAACCGACAAATAGAGGTGAAGAAACAAGGACGCCCAGGCAGACGCGTACGCCACCCTCCTCCAGCAAAATGGATCGAGTTGATGGTGTCCCTTTGGGATTCCAAGCCATGTGTGAGGAAAACCGCGATGGAAAGTCAAGTCTTGATAAAAGAAATTAAACAGTTAGTAAAGGAGGCCGAGTGATTTAAAACCGATGAAAGTATCATTGTTAATATTCACTTTTTAATGTTCACATTGCCTGTCGTGAAGACCTTTTCTCTCTGTTTTGGCATATGCGATAAAGGTTAAGGTCAAGTGCAGTAATACTAACAATAGACCTACGGGATCTTTTTTATCGATTTCCCGGTAGAAAGAGGTAGAAAGAAAGAGAAATATGCGAATTCGAAGTGGACTTTAAGAAATCTCTTTTGTTGCTGTTTAAATCTAACTAGTGATGAAATGATTTCTTCAATTTCTTAAAGGTCAGGTCTTAAAAGGGGTACAGATTTGAGAGGCCAGGTGTGAAAACGGGCGTGAAAAATTGATATTTTTTGGTCTGAAATAGGGTCAGGATTTGGAGAACCGGGCGGCACACCCACAGCAATAATTCGCGGGAGAACCCCTGAGTATTATGCGAGCATTTTAGGGGGACTTTCACGGAAAATAATTTTTTTCTCAGAAAAATAAAAATAAAAACAGTTTTTATAAGAAAATGAAAACTCAAGTTTCACCTCAATACAGTTGTGTAGACGGAATTTGTTTTTGCTGTATTATTAAAAATTATAATAAAGTTCAGATATACAAAGCGCACTCTGATTGGTTAACAAAACATTAGCTTAGTGCTTTAGCTTAGTGTTCTGCTTAGTCAGTGTACCACGTTTTAGTGCCAGATCGTAGATCACAACCTTTCAGCTCGAACTCGTTTAGTTTTTATGTTTCAGTCTCTTGTTTCGTATCATATGACTCTTGATACGAGACCCGTGCTATTTGCCACGCTTGTTCTTCCTTCGTGACCTAGCATGTTTCTCTTTTTTTTTTTCACATCAAGTAATTTTACTCTCCTAGTTGTATTATTTATCCGTGTTTTAGTAATTTTTAGCATCGTTTCCTTTTAGCGCTATTGTCCTGTCTTATTAACAGTGTTACTTAAAATAATTATTTACGTTGGACATCGTACATCATACATGAGACATAAGACATCAGACATCAAACACCGGACATCAGACATCATACACTGGACAACCGACATCATACATGAGACATCAAACATCAGCCATCGGACATCGAAAATTGGACATCAGACATCAGACATCGGAAACGGACGTCAGAGATCATCACGTTGAAGAGATTTGCAAGAAAGTATCTTCAGCTATAGGCGCCCTAAAACGTGTTTGGCCGTTTATATCCAAAGAAACTGGAATTCAAATTTATAAGGCCTTAATTATGCCTCATTTTGATTACTGCAGCCCCGTCTGGGACTGTTTGAGTGGTTACTTGAGTGATAAGCTCCAAAAATTACAGAATCGTGTAGGCAGAGTTATTACTAAATCACCCTTTGATGCGAGCTCAAACCACCTTCTCTCCACCCTCAGCTGGGAGAGGCTATCTCTTCGACGAAAGAAACAAAAAGCCTTAATGATGTATAAAACCATGAATGACCTTGCTCCGGAATATCTACAAAGTCTTTTCTCTCAGCGTCACTCTGCTTACAACTTAAGAAAGTCTGAGGGAAGGCTGACCCTCTCCAAACCAAGCACCAATTATTTGAAACGAAGCTTCTCTTACAGCGGGGCCATGTTATGAAATAACTTGCCCAAAAACTTAAAAAATGCTGCATCCGTTGAGCATTTTAAGCGAAATATCAAGAAGGTAGCTGATATATCGGATTCCCACACGGCAATCATGTAAAGCAGTTGTAATTAGTTTTAGTTTTTAACTTAAGCTTAACTGATGATTTCCCGTGTTTGAATAAAGATTTACATACATACATACATCGGACATAAAGACATAAGACATCGGACATCGAACTTCGGACATCAGACATCGGGCATCGGACGTCAGACATTGGACATCAGACATCGGACATCAGACGTGAGATATCATACATCGGTCATCAGACATCGAACATCGGGCATCAGACATCAGATATCAGATATCAGCCTTTAGCAAGAAGCCTAATGGGACTTTGAAACGAATAATTATTGTTTTTGATGGACCTGTTAATTACTAAAGACCAACTTGTCTTACTCAAAAAGATTCTAACGAATCCATTTTCGGCGGTACAGTGGGAGCTTTCGTGAACGGACACCCTCGGGAAGCGCGGACGCGAAAAAGGTGTCGGTAACTGGAGCTGGACGCTTACAAGAATTACGAGAATAGTTCTCGTATCCTGTCATTAACCCTTTAAAGGCTTCTTTCGCTTTTTTTTTTCTCGTTTATATTCTTGCATTATTTTTTCTCACCTTTTCTTTCTTGTTTTTGCACTTACGCGCTCAGCCTTTTCTAATTTTATCTTATTTAATGATTGCCGATGTCAGTATTATAATTATTAATTAGATAACATAATTTTAAAGGTGGTCCTATACACAAACCTTATTGGCCTCATTTTTTTTTTTAATTTTATGTGTATACTTTGTGTGTACGGCAAAATGATAATAAAACTATAAATAACTGAAACAATATCAACATGAAAATTCCCTACATTGATCTTCATACGTTTCCTTGTAAAACTAGTTGAGAGAATTCGTTTTATGTTTTCATCCCTTCTTGTCGACCTAGATATACTGCTAATTATTTGGCGCTGCATTGATCGAGCTCGTTTACTGGTCTGGTAATTGTCAAACAGTCACACACCTCATGGAGTTAATGGCTATGGGGGAATCCCCAAAGCCGCTTTTAATAGAAAAATAACAGTCTAAATCACAAAGAATTTATTTCAGAGGAGAAAAGGTAACTGGACCAGTAAAGGTGCGGGCAAACAAAACGTCACAAGCATCATTAGAATAATGATGCTGCCCCACCCAAGGGAAATGCAGCACCAAACAAGACAGTGGCAAAAATGAAGTGTAATAATAAGTAATGAATACAACTAGACCGTGGCAAAAGATATTGTTAGAGACGATATGAGAACTGCTGCCCTTGCCAGTCAGTTCCGAAAAGAAAAACGCGAAAATAGAAATCGTTGGAAAGTAATAACAATTCGAAAAGAGTATGAAAATCCCGACAATGTAGTGACTGCCGCCCTTGCTAGTCAGTCCCATAAGTCGGAAAGAATCAAGCTAGTTGGTAGAGGATAGGGATGAAATCCGTATGTAGCCCAACAGAAGGCATTAGATTTCCACCTGCCTAAAACACGAATCTGCGCGTCAGACATTCCCCTCTCAGCCGCATGAGAGGCAGCTCCGATTCGAAAACTATGACCTTTGTAGCGTGCCGGGTTAAGACCGCAACGCTTAATAGCAGTGGTAAGCAGGCCGCAAAAATACTGTCTATGAACCGGAATAATCGAGCTTAAATTGAACGGGGCAGAAAGAAGACTGACGTTGCATGATCACCGAAAAAGGGGGCTGGTTGTAGCTGTGCTTGTAGTGCAGGAATGTGACCTTAAGGGAAACAACATGGTTAGCAGCATTAACAAGCTTAGCGATGTTATCAATTGATAAGAGAGATTTGTTGTTATTGGTTGCCGCCATTTCGCCCACACGTAAGAAGGCATAAAAGGCAAGGGAACACATAGCCCGAAACAAGCACAACTCGTAAGGGAACAGGGAAAGATCTGAAGCTAAATACAAAATTTTGTGGAGATTAGGGAGTGTAATAGGTAATCTGCCATCAATACGCGTGCCAAGCTTACCATAACCTTTAAGCATTTGAACGATAAAAAATACCTTTGTAGGGTCCGGAAGGCTAAACAACTTATGAGAATAACTGATTGCCGAAATGTAGGTATTGGCTGTGGAGGAGGCATAGTTACGATCGAACAAATAGGCAATAAACAGTGCTAAATGCGGCGCTGAAATAGGAAGGATGACCTTAACCCCGGGAAACGAAGTATGGAAAAAATCATAAAATAATTTCCAAGACGGCTTATACGTAGGCAAAGAGGAAGGTTGGAGACTCGAATTAATCAGGTGTGAAACTATAACTGCCAGTTCTGGGGCTGCAGATGGAGAGGAATGTCTGTCGGCGAGTGGTCCGTAAAAGATGGTGCCAGCCTTTGAAAAGTCTGAACCTGGAAGCGAGATAAAGCGTCCGCTAAGGCATTTCGTGAACCGGGAACATGCTTTGCCTTAAAAACAATGTTATTACGCAAGCAAATCAAAACGAGTTGACTTGACTCTTATCTCTACAAGATTGCTTGTTAATGACACGCACGAGCGCCTCATTATCAGTGAAAAATAATATGCAGCGGTTCTTCATCTCATGAATCCACAGGAACAGACTCAAAACGATAGGAAAAAATTCTAAAGTCGCAATGTTCGTGTAAGCCCACCCATTCGGCCATCTCCCATAGCACCAGTGAGTGCCAAAAATAGCACCAAATCCCAGAGCCCCGAAAGCGTCGGTAAATAAGTTCAACTTGTGCGAGTTAAACCATTCGTCGAGTAAAAAGAAAGATTTCCCATTAAATTTAGACAGAAAGAATAGCCAAAGACGGAGATCTGCTTTAGCTTCGCTAGTTAGGCGAATGAGGAGATGGGCTGACCGTATTCCAAGCGTAAGATCGATCAGTCGCCTCAGAAAAGCACGACCAGGTTTAACAACAGCACAAGCGAAGTTTAGGAGACCAAGGAGAGATTGAAGCTCCTGCAGGGTAACTTTCTTACGCCGAAGGAATTGCGAAATGAAAGTAGTGCATTTATGAATTTTGTCACGGGGGAGTCGGGCTTCCATAGACTGAGAATCTAGTTCAATGCCTGCGAAAGATATGGTAGTCGATGGACCAACTGTTTTGTCCGGTGCGATGGGGATACCCAAATAAGAACAAAGGCGCAAAAATAAAGCTACAATCTTGGACAAAACTGTTGAGAAAATTGTGCACTTGGACAGCATTTTTGTAAACATCGCAGCTTTACCGGTTTTTCCCTCTCCCCCTTCCCCTGAAAGCAATGTTGTTGTGTACTCAAAAGAAAGCCTGATCCCTGGGCGTTTGTGGGAAGCAACATTGAATTGGGGGAAGGGGTTTTCGGATCACTCACCGTTTCTGGGAACGGAGTCATCTTTCTACCGACGCTCAAAAATAAATAAATACACGCGAAGGCTCCTGAAGACTCGACGAGGACGTCTCGATGTCACTTTATGACCTTACGAGGATTACTCTATAACACAGGATGACTCGCCGAGGATGACTCGATGAGGCACCATTACTTGGCGACCCAACGAGGGTGACTCGACGAGGGGACGACTCGAAGAGGACGACTAGGCGAGGATCACACGACGAGGCAAGATGATTCGACGAGACTACTGAGTCATAACCAGAATCCCAGAAGTAGTCAGGGTTGTTTGTGAGGGACATCTGTTTTGCGAATTGTGTTGACGAGTTTATTTATTTATTTTTTCAATCATTTGAAATGTTCAATCTATTATTAATGACATTTATGGCCAATCCATTGTTCTTATTATTATAGACACATTTCATTTCATTTCATTTCATTTAGTATAATTATATTGTCAGCCTTCTTGCCTGCCAAATTTGTAAGCTGAATGATAATGGTGTCGATGGTTTTCGCCATTTTATTTCAAGATCACGTGTGTAATGCAACTAACTGCAGGCATAAACATTCATGCGCTTTCTCTCCTTGCGTTCAAACTTATTTTTCTACCTTCTAGTGTTTACAAAAGACTATTTTTAAAGAGAGAGAGAGAGAGAGAGAGAGAGAGAGAGAGAGAGAGAGAGAGAGAGAGAGAGAGAGAGAGAGAGAGAGAGAGAGAGAGAGTACTAACGGTTATGGGAGTCCCGAAAATCTTGATAATGAGTTAGAGTCACTATTTAAAAGAGCTGTGTCGCCAAATTTACGGCCAAATTGAGTGAAACAAAAAAAATTAACTGCTCAAAACATGAAAAAGCGGGTATAAATAACAAAGCAGTAACATATGGAGTAGAGGAACGGATGGAGAAAGTTGAAAAACATTTAGACAGAAAGCAGGAAGGTTTTTATCTATTGCTTCTGCACCAGAGAATATTTGTGAGATAAGGGTCTGACATAATAAATTCATAAACTGTGATGGTATGTCCAGATAATATAACAAGATTTTAGTGTTTATTGCCATGAATAAGCGCTATAGTAGTGTTTCATAAAACCAAACAAACTCAGAGGACAACAATCAGTGAAAGATTCCGGCAATTCTACTCTTTTACAAAAAGGTCAACTCTGCTAGTTAAAGACATTAGAAAAACTACGTTTGTGCATTCATTTTCCGTAGAACAAAAGGCAAAATTGTTACCTTTTTTGTCTTTGTCTTTGCTTGTCGTTTAGCTTAAAAGTTAAGAAAAGGTACCTTTTTTGGAAAAAGAAGGTAGATATTTTCCGCTTTTGAGTGAATGATATTTTGACGTCAATATTGTCCGCTCTTCATTCATTTCTCACTTTACCAGACAATTTTATAAAGCGCGAAAAAGGCACCTTTTTTTTCGGTTTCAAGCGATCTCATGAAAGGCGCGAAAAGTTATCTTTTTTGCAGTTGGAAGCGATGTTCTCAAAAGCCCCAAAATGGTACCTTTTTTGCAGTTGGAAGTGATTTTGTTAAAAGTGCGAAAAAGGTACCTTTAAAGTCTTTAAAAATATAAAACAGTGTTTTCAGGCTTTGGGAAGCCATTTAAACCCTACTGATCGACAGATGTCAACTGTTGGCACCTCTTGAGCTTCAATGAACGACGCACAGACGTTTTTGAGAGGATTCTAGGTGAACCTGTTAAAATTGAAATGGTCTACAAGGGGAATCAGCGGAGTAAAAAATTTTAGCTTGCTCCTTTTAGCCAAGACTAGAAGAAATCCCAAAATACTGGCCTCCAGCCAAATGGATGAAATGGCTCCTGAAAATGTAACAACTACTGGTACTTTAAAACTAGATGCAACAAGAAGAGGAGCTCAGCAAGGGCAATTTAAAGCGTGGAGCAAATACTTTAACCTGAAAGAAGTCCTACATGAAAAGTCCAACCATTTTAATTTGCAAAAAAATTCTACCTCGATCTACAGTAAAAAGCAGAGGTGTTCATTGTTCTTTTCCTTTAAGTCTAAACTGAGCTGGTTCCGAGCGGGTCTTTTTAATAACTGTCTCGTTTGGTGGATGATGTTTTTCACTCCAGAAAGGTTATTAGAGCCTTGGTCCTGGGGTTATTCTTGTTTGCTATAATGTAAACTAAATAATTTAACTTCAGGTGCTTTTTGAGCTACAGGCCGAAGTAAAGCCATTAACAGTAAAAATGCCACTATACATGTACCTCTGACACCTCTTAACTAAATACTAAAGTAGGCCTGAACAGCTGTCCTCTATTCGAGCACTTTGGTTATTTTTTTTTTCAGAGAAAAAGAAAACTAGAAATTTTCAAATAGAAAATACACTCTCAAATTCGAAACCAAAAAAATTCAAATGCCACCGTTTAGACAATTGTCTTTTGGTGTATCAAAGCCATAAGCATACATTGTTGTTATAACACTTATACGTATTATAATCGCATCATCGCGCATTTTAGTGAATTTTTTTAAGGTAAAGCATTTTAAATGCACAAGAGCCTGGCCCGAATTCTCTTCAGGTTACTTATAACTGGCACCAACCAGTGACAATGCTTCCAGCTTCACTCCGACTCTGATCAAGATGGCTCACACTTATGCTAAAATCAAGCACGGGCAATAGATTTTAAAACTGCAACCTGACACTGTTACAGTGTCAAGCTCAGCAAGTGTTTTCAAACTTGGCCAACAAACAGGGATTATTTGTCTCTTGACTAGTGGATCAGTAAATTCTGACAGAAAAATTTATAAAATGGCACCAACGGTTGACATCTGTCAATCAGTAGGCTTTTAAATGGCTTCCTGTGGCTTAAAAACACCATTTTATATTTTTAAAGACTTTAAAGGTACCTTTTTCGCACTTTTGAGAACATCACTTCCAACTGCCAAAAAGGTACCTTTTTCGCGCTTTTGAGAACATCGCTTCCAACTGCAAAAAAGGTACCTTTCTGTGCCTTTCATGAGATCGCTTGAAACCGAAAAAAAGGTACCTCTTTTGCGCTTTAAATCATCGTTTGGTAAAGTGAGAAATGGACGAAGAGCGGACAATATTGACGTCAAAATATCATTCAATCGAAAGCTGAAAATACCTGACTTCTTTTTCAGTTAGGTACCTTTTCTTAACTTTTAACCTAAACGACAAGCATAGACAAAAAAGGTAACAATTTTTCATTTTGTTCTATGAAAATGAATGCAGAAACTCAGTTTTTCTGCTGTTTTTAACTAGCAGAGTTGACCTTTTTGTACAAAAGTAGAATTGCCGGAATCTTTCACTGATTAATATTGCCGTCAAAATATCATCCACTCGAAAGCTGAAAATGCATGACTTCTTTTTCAAAAAAAGGTACCTTTTCTTAAATTTTAACTTAAACGACAAGCAAAGACAAAAAAGGTAACAATTTTGCATTTTGTTCTACGAAAAATGAATGCAGAAACGTAGTTTTTCTGCTGTTTTTAACTAGCAAAGTTGATCTTTTTGTAAAAAAGTAGAATTGGCGGAATCGTTCACTGATTGACAACACGGTGCCACAATCATTATCATCACCACCATCATTATTATTGTTACTATTATTATGGCACTAAAACTCAGGGACCTAGAGAGACCATTTAATTGGCAAGTACGCACGCGGTCCACATGGTCTCAAAAACTTCACACAAAACAAAGTTTTTGCTTTCCTTTCACCCATTTGCCCAGTAGCCGCCCGTAATCACCGGTGCGGATCCACATCGCTTCTTCCACTTGTAATGTCATCAGGTTTTGTCCGCTAACTTGGGCAGAGTGAAGAGATCTTTTAAACCATACCAAAATGAGTACAATTCAGTCAAGGGCTCAAGACAAAAAAATAAAAATTAAAAAATAACCATGTTACATTGACCGGAAAATTTCCGTAAAAATCTTTTCCTTACCCACCTTGAACTAAGGCTTTCTCACTTTCTGACTGAGTATAACGCATTTTCTCGATCCCGGCGTTTACGGTAAAAACCTGCGTATAAGAGCTTAAGTTTTTCCAAGCTAGGCTGAGAAGGTTCTTATAAAAACGTTTAATTTCTGGGAATTTTTTTTTATTTTTAAAGGTAAACAATGTGTTTGTCATTGGTGGGTGTGGCCTATATTTTGGACCTACTGTTGGTCGCATGCATAATCAAGAGAGAATGAGCTTAGATCACTCTCTCTTGGCATAATATGTTACGGCAAATCCCTTATCACGTGCACGTAGGTCTACAAGTAGAAGTACATGTTAATTGTCTCATTAAAAGGGATTTATCTTCACTCTCTTGCTTCAATTTACTGACTGGTAGAGCTTGTTCTATCATTTGCACAAATTTGCTGCTCTTTGCAAATACCGTAAAATAAGTCCCGCGCCTTATATTTTTCGAAGGCCCTTTTTGAAGAGCTTATGGAGGGGTTAATCTTCGGATTATTAGCTTATCTATGAGGGGAAATTTGCGTTTCAAAAATTGATTGGGCTAGCCTTAGAAATTGTCGTCTCGCTGGGACAGCGGCGCTGACTGGCAACAGAAAACTCAATCGCACAAAAAGGGTTATTTTAATAACCCTTTTTGTGTGTCCATGAGAAGACCAGGCAGAACCAGGCAGGGGGTGATAATGCTCAAATCACCGATTTCGCTCAAACTCGGCACAAATGTTAGGTATCAGGAGTTAACTTATGTGAAAGAATGTCAGGTCCAAATATTAAATTCCCTGGGAGATCCGGGCTCCCCCTGTAAAAATCGCCATTTTGCCCGTTTCATGCATAATTAATTAGCTAACTTTACAATGCCAGTGCAACAAACAGAAAAGCCACCCTGAACTTAAATGCACTGAGAGATGATCTGAGTTCATAAGACTTTAAGCACGTTAAACTGTTTAAAGTCGCCGATTCGATTTCCTCCCTCTTAGCCCCCTTAGGTTGGGTCATCATTTCCAAGTTTTGAGTAAGTCGTAAAATTAGGTATTTTATTCCCAAATATCTCTGATGAGCAACAGCTTATCTTTATAACTTTTGCATGAGTAGTTAAAGCCATCACTTAAGTTGAGAAAAAAGATCATAAAAAGTTTGGGCAATTCACTTTCTTCCATGTGTTGACATAAACTGTTCATGTGACTGAACGACTTTTGCATATTTCATCAAAATTCAGGCCCTCACAATATTCGTGTGTTTGCCTTTGAATGAGGAGAAATCAGACAAAAAAACTCATCAGACAATGATTTAACATTAATAAGGGTAAAATCGTTGAAATTGTTGTGCAAGAAACCCTAACGATGATTTTTGATAGCTATATAAGCGATCTTTTCAACTAAAAACAACATACAAAGATTTAATTCACAGTTTTACTTACGTTAACAATTTCGCCCTAAAAACAATATAAACGGTCAATAAAATCCATATACGTATCTCTTAGATGTTTCAACTGCTAGTTTGTGCACGCTTTGATTTGTTCCCCATGCCACCGTCGATGTCCAGTTAAGCGTAGTTCAGCGCCGTGACTCGCTGTACGACTAAAATTCCTTAGCCATCAGTTTACGCACCAAAATCCAAATCAAGTTGTTTTAGGAGAAAACAATACGAAAAGTAGAAAGCCGATTTTTAACCCATTGAAAGAATTATTTCTGCCACTGTTGTAGCTCAATTCACATGTTACAAATGTCCGCCATCTTTGACATTAACTGGAGCCCGCATTTTTAAGCAGCGGTTGCCACCATACGGAAACATCGTATCGGGAGTCAGGAGCCAGGAGCCAGGATCCAGGAGCGAGAGTCCAGTGAACAAAATTCAGTCGAAAATATGACTTTCCGACATTCTTTGAGATTATTTTATTGTTATTGTATGCTAATAAATAATTTAGAATTCCAAATCTATTGGCAACTTTATTCAGACCATGATAATAAATGATCCCATGTCTTCTCAAACTCGAAGATAGAAGTCGCTTTGTCTTCGTGTTTTGGAAAGAACTATTTATTGTATTTTAGTCGCACGTGAAATAGCAGCGAAGTGAAGTCGGATCTTCGTGCAGACCAGTTCAAAGAGACAAATAAAGCGTGAGACACGTCCAATTTGGCTTGCGACAAGAATACCATTTTTTTTTTTTCATACTGGAGTCCCTTCTCCCCAGGGGAGTGGCCAAATTGCGTACAAATGCCCTACACTGCTGGCACCAGATTTGACTGTCATAAACACTGAATTTTTTATCTAGCACTGTCGTTTGCGGGTCTTATAAAGCCTAACTGTGGCAGTAATGTTCCCAAGTAGAACTCAAAATACACCACACTTTCACTTTGAGTTAGATATTTTTCTCAAACAACCGCTTCCATATGTTTAACACCCTTCCCAAATTGTAATACAGTGGAAGCTCTCGTAAGAGGACACCCTCGGGAAGAGAAAAAGGCGTCCTTAACTGGAGCTGGCCGCTTACAACAATGAATCTCATACGGTAACTCTGAAACGGATATATAAGAATGATTCATAACAGTGACAAACAGCAATGACTGTGGACATGATATGAAAAAAAAAACAACAACAACAACAACATTAAGAGGTGGATAAGATTTTCTTTCGAGTGTCTGCTTACGAGAGCTTTAAATCAAAGCTAACATCTAATTCACCGGTAAACCCTTTAAGTGTCCGCGGCCGCCTACGGGAATGTAAAAATCCAGAGTTTGTGTGGAAGTTGAAACGGGATTTTGTGATGGCGGTCGTAAGTAGAGCTATTCGCTATATACGAGAGTGTCCGTTAAGAGAACTTAATCCACTGTATGAATCCGCAAATGACAGCTTAAATGAGAAGCTAATATAGTGTATTAGTCTGTGTTCAAGAAACTGTTCTTTTACACCTTCCTTGAATAGCTAAAGAAGTCTTGTCGACTTTTTTTGCAGTGTATTAGTGCCTCCTTTTGGGTCTTTTGTATTCCTCAGAAGTTTTTCCTCAACACTTTTATAAACGGTTATTATTATATTTTTGTAGTCAATAATATACCCAGATACAGATACCAACCTGTATAGTTGTAAGACTACGAGGATTAAAATACAAGTAAGTAAGTCAGTATACCCAATGGCAAGTCATTAATTGTCTAAAAATTGCACGGCACGGTCTGACTACGAAAAGGGCTATTATGGACGATTATTATCATGGTAATTAATGTCAACACCGAATAAACTCAAAATTTCAAGTAACACGACTTTCGCAACCTATTTTCAACACGCCAGTTATAACAAGATATTGGCGCGTACAAACAATAGGTAGCGTATTCCGCATTCCGGAGTCCGGTAGTCCGGCGTCACAGATTCCATCGTTTTGGCAGAGTCCAAAGTCAAAGATGGAGGGTGTTCGAGCAGGTGGTTGTTTTCCGTAGATATAGACGGATTGTCAGTGATCTTTCTTGTCCTTTGAGAATGATTTTGTTCATTCTGACTACAACTTATTTCAAAGACTTCGAATGTTCGGTGAAAAGCCGACACTTTTAATTTTGCAATGTTTCAAGATGTTTCGATTTCATTACCTCGTCACGAAGTAACGCCACAGAGGACCAGACGAAACTGGAGCAGCAAATCTGAACTAAAGCATCTGAGAGACGTGTATGTAACATTTGTTCACTATCTTTTATCCTTGTTGGGTCTTGTTTCACCTACAAGTTGGACCGATCGAGGTTTTGAACTAAATCTTTTGCTCCTTGTGTTTACTCAAGCGTTCCATAAAATATCCATCCAAACGTCCATAAATAACACAGAAAACATGCCTCAGGTGACACTTTCTAACAATTCCGCTATTAGTATCGACAATGAGGCATCTGATTTGTGACTTCTCGCCAAGTTTGTGCTATTTTTGTTAAGAAAAACGAATGTTACGTTTCCTCGTATTTTGGTCAAATGACAAAAAAGAGTCAAGTCAGATGTACATAATACGTCATTATTGATAAAGTATGAGATTGCCCAAATATTTTATGATTGATTTGATAACCTTAAAGATGTCTTTCAAAGAATATGTGAGAATTAAGTACATAGGTTGTTGCTCATGGGAGATGTTAGCCACTAAAATACCTTAAATTTAGGGTTTGGTCAAAACAGTTAGAAGATGTCTTTACTTTAGGCTAAATAATAGGAAGATATGGAATTAGAGAGTAAAAATAAATTACTGAGCATTAAGTCTGATAAACATGGAAGATGATAAAGTTGATTAGATTTGAAGTTGTCTTTTCTTCTTGTTGAACAGCCAAACCAAAGTTAGCTAATTAATTATGCAAAAATGAGTAGATTTTGTCGTTTTTAGGGGGGGGGTCCCTGTAAATCCCAGGGAATTCAATATTGCGACCTTATTTTTTGTCGAGGTTAATATCTCACCACACCCATCAATTGTGCCAAGTTTGAGCGAATTCCGTGATTTGAGCATTATCACTGCCTGCCTGGTTCTCTCATGGACACACTCTTAAACTATCTAGCATTCTGCTTCGCTTGCTTTACTAAAACGTTAATTAGCAAGGCGTTCAAACAGCTTTCTGGGTATAGTGGAGCCTTGAGTTGCGTACACTCCTTGTAAGCAAACAGTTTTCCAAAATGTTATTAGTTTACATTTCTATATTTGGATAGGAACCTGTCTAAACTAACACCTCTCGTAAGCGACCGTGGCCACTTTTAGAGTTAAAAATTTGAAATTTGCTTTTTTTTTTAACTCTCGTAAGCGATCACTTGACAGATAATAGAGGGGAAAATTGTGTAGTGCTGTGTATTTCTTATCTAAAGTACCTCGAGCAATCATCTCTTGACTTCTTTTTTACCAAAATAGGAAGTACATTAATTTTGTATCTATAGCTAGTGCAGTATAAGACGTACCAGTCACGAACCTTGCTCCTCTTGAAACCACATGTACACTTGCCGTTAAGGTTCGTTCATTTTTGACTTCCGTTAATTTTGCTTTCGTTTCAGTTTAAAAGAAGCACCATCTTTGTAGACGTAGCACAATCGAAAAACATGATACCCACCATGTCTGAACTCTGCTACGCGACCATCTCCCGTAAGCGACCAACTGGGCTTGACATTTTGGGCGGGTGCTTACGGGATGTTCTGGACTGGGTTTTTTTGAGAAAGTTGCCCGAAATTTGCGGAGCAATAGTGGCTCACCCGTAGCGGGGGAGGAGCCGGCGTTTATTCCATGCCGGCGTTGAATCAAAAAGTAATACGGAAACCAGAACCATTACCACCCCCTCATTAAGGCAAACGTTACTAAAAAAAGACAGGCAGATTCCACATTGATCACATTTAATTAATGTAGGCTTATATTATTACAAGGAGACGGAAGAAAGGACACTCGGTAAGGCTCGGTATACTTACTAACACAACTAAACAGAATAACCCTTAGGCATTTGTGAGTATAATCATCGCCATTCCCCTTTTTTCTTTCCTTCTTCTCTGTTTTCCGTTTGATTTTTTTATTCAACATGTGATCTTCGAGTATGGTATGTCCAGAGATATAACAAGATTTTGGTGTTTATTGCCTTGAATAAGCGCTATAGTAGTGTTTCATGAAACCAAACAAACTCAGAGGACAACACGGTGCCACAATCATTATCAGCACCACCATCATTATTATTGTTACTATTATTATGGCACTAAACTCAGGGACTTAGAGAGACCATTTAATTGGCAGTAAGCACGCGGTCCATATCGTCTCAAAAACTTCACACAAAACAAAGTTTTTGCTTTCCTTTCACCCATTTTTCCGGGAGCCGCCCGTAATCGCCGGCGCTGGTCTACATCGCTTTTTCCACTTGTAATGTCATCAGGTTTTGTCCGCTAACTTGTGTAGAGTGAAGAGATCTTTTAAACCATACCAAAAAGAGTACAAATCAGTCAAGGGTGCAAGACAGAGCGGAGCACCATGGGTAAGAAAATTTGGTAAACTATCCATCCGAGAAAATTTGGTTATGACGTAGAGTACGCCCACCCGTACACACACTTCATGTAAGCCGATGTCAAATATCACAATAGATCTTGCACAACTTGACTAGCCTCTTAGTTATGTAAGCCATCCGTATGAGTACGATTAGATTGACAGCTGTCAAAATCAGACATCCGCTGACAATTATCACATGACCATCTCGCGGGCTCAGATAAAAGACCAGTCGTTTTACCCCTATATATAAGCTGATATAATATGTCACACTTACCAATTCAACATAAAAACGAAACTACGCTGGGCAAGGCTGTCAGTTGACTGACAGTCGTTTAAAGTTACATTGGCAAGCCAAATTAAGGTCAATTGACAGCTGTCAAAATGGGACATGTGCAGACCACAATCAGAAAACTAGTAACGTGGGCTCAGGTTCGCTCAGGTACACGATCTGGCATTTTCCACTACATGCCGGACGGATATGTCCTACTCACACTCGTAGTCTGTTAATTCGAATATTCGCCATTCTAATGAAGGTTAATTGACAGCTGTCAAACTAGAGTATACGCTGACCATCATCACCTGAGTGGATCGCGGGCTCATTTTTCTATCCATTGAGGTCAAGTAGTGTTTAAAGTTTTGCGCATATATTTTATTTGATCACAGGCTCAATTCAAAGCCCCATAGCTTTATAGAAAATCTGTCCATCCTAGAAAATTCGGCAAGCACGTGACCGTACACCGACCACCCGACCTTCCGTCTGTCCGCACTACAGGCATACCAATGTTTCTGCTGACCAGTATCGCCTGACCGTATCGCGGGCTCAGGTATAGACCCTCTGAGTTCGAGTAATTTTTGAAGGTATCTGCTGACAAGTTGCTTCTTTTCAAATGATCGCAGGCTCACGTTCAATTTTTTTAAAATGCATATGAAATAAGTCGTGTTCATGAGCCGCACTTTTAAAATGTTGATTTCGAACTGACCTCGGACACGAAAGTTCAACCGGCTTTTACATTTAAATGCAGGGAAAGCAATCGCTTTTGACTTTTCTCACTGTCACGTGTTCATCACGCTCTACGTCCCATTTTTATGTTCTGATTGGTCAAAATTTGACAGGTGAGTTTATGGGGAAAATTTATGCAGCGTCTGGAAACTTGCTTACTGATAGCTGGAGCTGATGGAGTTTTGTGTCATCTTGTGATGTTTTAAACTGTCTTTTTCTACTTGGTGTACAAAATGAAATACAGCTGCTATCAACATTGTTCTGTAATTCGTGGCTGGTTTGCTTATTGCGCTTTTTGTTGACAAATGCATCGCTTGGCAAAGTCATTGGAAATCCGATTTCGGATGGCATCGTTTTCAAAAATGAGCTTACTCACTTGCCCTTGCTTGAGGCGTAAGAGGGTTTAAAAGTCTCAAGCGATTCTGGAACACTTGATGACCTTCAGCATCTCGACTGGTAAGCCTGAGCAATTATTGTCTTTGATGAGTTTTTTTTCGGTTTCCTGAAGTCGAGCGTATGGTTTATGCGGCTTAAGTTTATACACGAGCAATTATCTAACCTACAATAGTATCAGGTTTAAAAAGCCTTTAGACACTTTTGACCCGCAAATTCAAAGAAAAGGTTCCGAAGATTATTTAGTTATCATTTTGGCAGTAAACGGAAGGCTCTGAGCGATTTTCTTGCCTCGAGTTCATCTTGAAAAAGAGAAAACACCGGGAAGCCGGCTTAAAACATAAATAAGCTTATGCTTACCTGACTCATGATTTTCTGAGACACTTTACTCTCAATACTTCTCTTCGTGAATGAAAATTATTGTCTCTGTACATGTTTCACCGAATTAAATTTATTTTATTGATTGTTAGTAGTCCCTCTCGCAATTTTTATCGCTGCACCGGTTTTTTTTTTTTAAATTTCCAGTCGAACATAAACATCGCATGCAAGAATACTCAAAACGCCGCGCGTAAATATCACTCGCTTTTAAAGATAACACATAAAAAAATCATGCACAGTTTAATGAATAAAGGGAAGTAAAACCTAAACATAACAATTTCTCTATGATGTTGAAGCGTGAATGGTAACTCTATTAATCGCACTGCAAATTTGGTGCCTGTCAAAAGTGAGAACCCGTCCGGCTTGCCGAAAAGTGATTTTGGGAATTTTTTTTATCGTTTTCATTAAAAGCCCATAATTATTACCCTGCATATCTAGGACCAGATTTTTCTAACTGAAAAGTCCCGGCATTATAGAATTCTTTTCATGAAAACGTTTTACAATTCAATGCTATAATTTGTGGTGCAAACGAAGCGCGTGCTTTGATCGTCGTGGATATTGAATGAGTGCAAATTATCTTGCCAAATTGTGAAAAACTGCAGAATTATAGGTTTAAATAGAGCAAAAAAGAACAAATTCTGTCCGAGGTCTGTATGATAAAAAAGGGCCTCATAGTACTGTTTACCTGAGACGTGATGAGAAAAAGTATGTTTAAAAGGCTGGTTTACACGCCACCAGATTCGTCGCCAAGATTTACTAGTAAACTAAACTTGTCGAACACAAAAAATCCGGCCTGATTTTTTTATTTTGGCCTCTCTTTTAGACAGAGGAATACAACGTGTAAATTGGCTGCCACCAAGGACTATCGTGGCGCGGGGTTATCCAATTATCCATAGTCTCTCTAACGGAGCAATGTTGGTGAGACTGGTGAATGCCACATTATGATGCAACAGCTAATGCAAATACAATACACGAATAGGTCTATTTGTTTTCCAGGCCTAATCTACTGTGATCGAACATGATTGCCATTTTTCGGTGTACAAATAAGACTATTTAATAACTCGATGTAAAATTTGTTTCACTCTTGGACGGTCAAATTCTGATTTTTCTCTAAAATCACTCAGCCTTTGCCTCAAAAGTCAAATGAATGTGCCCTGATCTGTGGATTACAATTGCAAGTTTATTGTTTGATTTAAATTATGAATTTATTAACGGGAGCTTCGCTTTTAGCCCTGGCTAAATCTATATATTATATTTGCGACATATTTACAAGGAGTAAATTTGTGCAAATCCATTTTCTCTATTCAAGAAAAGTTCAAATGCCTTTGTCTTGAAAGCCCATGTTCTGCCTTTATACAAGTTGCTCTAATATATTTTCAAAGAGTTGCTTAAAAGTTGCTTTGGCTCTTGTAAATTTGCTCCCATCCTTTTTGCATATCTGACAGGGTTTTCAGCTTCCTTTGACCACAAGTCGACTTCAGAGTTAGAAAAACGTTTTTCCTTAACGAGTTTTTACATTTCGTGGTCGCCATTTTGGAAATTGTTTGCTGTTCGGCAACAGAAAACTCAATCGCACAAAAAGGGTTATTAAGCTATCTAGCATTCTGCTTCGCTTGCTTCACTAAAACGTTAATTAGCCAGGCGTTCAAACAGCTTTCTTGGTATAGTGGAGCCTTGTGTCCCCTCTTGTAAGCGACCAGTTTTCCAAAATGTTATAAGTTTACATTTCTATATTTGGATCTAACACTTCTCGTAAGCGACCGTGACCACTTTTAGAGCTACAAATTTGAAATTTGCTCCTTTTTTTAACTCTCGTAAGCGATCACTTGACAGATAATAGAGGGGAAAATTATATAGTGCTGTGTATTTCTTATCTAAAGTACCTCGAGCAATCATCTCTTGACTTCTTTTTTATCAAAAAAGGAGGTACATTAATTTTGTATCTACTGCAGTATAAGTTACCAGACACGAACCTTGCTCCTCTTGAAACCACATGTATACTTGCCGTTAAGGTTCGTTCATTTTTGACTTCCGTTAATTTTGCTTTCGTTTCAGTTTAAAAGAAGCACCATTTTTGTAGACGTAGCACAATCGAAAAACACGATACCCATCATGTCTGAATCTGCTACGCGACCAAATCCCGTAGGCGACCAACTGGGCTAGTCATTTTGGGCGGTCGCTTACGGGATGTTCCGGACTAGTTTTTTTTGAAAAAGTTGCCCGATTTTTGTTTTTTAAACAAAGTTGTCAAAAACCGACAAAGGTGCTCACTATGCTCAAAGTGGTAGAAGTTGTCAAAAGATGTGGCGGGGGAGGGGAGGGGGGTATAAGGGGGGTTAACAACTTCACGTATAAGAGCCGGCGTTGAATCGAAAAGTAATACGGAAACCGGACCCATTACCACTCGCTCATTAAGGCAAACGTGACTCAAAAAAGACAGGCAGATTCCACATTGATCACATTTAATTAATGTAGGCTTCTATTATTACAAGGAGACGGAAAAAAGGACACTCGGTAAGGCTCGGTATACTTACTAACAACTAAACAATATAACCCTTACGCATTTGTGAGTATAGTCATCGCCATTTCCCTTTTTTCTTTTCTTCTTCTATGTTTTCCGTTTGATTTTTTTTATTCAACATGTGATCTTCGAGTACACTTATCTACAAACTTAAAAAAGCAATTTTAATCAAGTGATTCAGATTTCTACCAATGCAACTGATCTAAGCTCTAAATTTCTAACTTTAAGGCTCAATTAAGGTGTTTCGATACAGTTTTTCAGAGGCCATACCGATATTTTTCAATCGCCTTACAAGTGGTTTTAATTTTTCTTTGTCCGATCGCTATAAAAATTTCACCAGTTATTGGCTATGGATTGAAATTTGTGAAAATGTAGTCTTAAGTAAAATCTATATTTGTCATAGTAATATCGATTTACTAAAACCTACATTTTGACAAATTGCAATCTATAGTCAATCATTGGTGAAAATTTTGTAGCGATCAGTCGCTTTTAAAGCGATTGAAAAATATCGGTATGGCCTCTGAAAACTATATCGAAACACCTTAAAGGTGATACAATTACTGCCTTATAAATAATCTTGTTTTGACATCTATTAAGATTTTGAAATTGGTTAAATTTGTAGTGCGATATATACAAACTCTTCTTGAAACACCCTGCCTTAACCTAGTAAAATAATCCAGGTCCATTTCCAACGGATTTGATGGATAAGTTTGCTTACAATTTCTAGCGTCTGCAACATGCGTCGACCCGAGCGAAATAGAATGGCTTTAAATTTTCTGGTGTATTTAATAAGTAACTTCCGGTATCACAGCGAATAATTAATTTCCTTTTTTGTGACATATTTCCAAAAAATTAACCATTGACGAACAGCTATTCTGAGGATTTGATGGCACATGTTTCCAGCAGAGGGCCTAAAGGTCAATTACCCATAAAAGAACAGACTTTTTTTGTGCAAATTGATGAAATATTGAAACTGACAAAGCAGTTTGGTTTTGTATGAACATTTGATGTGACCGTGTCATGTAATCTTTAACCACCCTGTCAAAAATATGCCGCCGGAACTGTGTTCTGTGCTCCCATTGTTCGATCCAGGCTTTAGTGCGATCCGCGCACCCTTGTACCGCCAAAACCCATATATGGGCATCTCACGTGTCCAACGTGGATATCGAATTCGCGTCCTCTCTGGCTAAGCATGGCGGCGTCACTATTGTGGAAGGGATATAATACGAGTTTCAAGACCTTTTTACAGAAAACTAGAACAGAAAATTCGCACCAGAGGTTTAAGGTAAGCTCATTCATAATCAAGTAAAGGTTAGCGCATAACACTAAGCTGTTAATCGTGTCCTCGATCCTATGTAATACTCGCTACCTATCAGCATTCAACTACATTTTTCAAAGCTTGTTTCCAAAACTATAAGATATTCGCACTTTATAAGCTTGTAGCCAGTAAATCGCCGCGATTCATTTAGCAATTAATGAATGAGGCTGAGTAGGAGATGATCGAGGAGGGTGTTATCAAGCAAAGCCGAAGGCCGTGGATAACACCCTCCGAGATCTGCTTAATTCTTCATATCCCACGAAAGCCGAATTCATTAATTGCTTTATTATTCATTCAAAATAGTTCTTAGTTTATAAACATAGCTAAAACATGCTTACCTACATCGATGTTAAGGTCATCTTCGATAGTGTACGTTTAGGTTTGTCCAGCTTTACAGATATTCTCCAAAAAGCATATGTCGCCTTCCGAGTTGTCGTCTTGCTGTTTTTGCTATGTTTTTTGCTATTATTTCACCTGGTTCCAGCTGTAAATCTTACTCTGCTTGAAAAGAGTTAAGAGTCCGCCATTTTTATATTCACAACCAAAACAACTCAACCTCATCCCCAGGTCTTCATGGTAACGGTGCCTTAACCTGTAAGAATGCTGCAGTTTTGAAGGCATTTCCTCGTTAAACAAAAAATTTTTCGAAATTTGGTGATTAGTAACTGGTTATGGTGAATTATGCATGTATTTTGAGTGAATAATAATATCAGATAAGTGCAACAACGAGTACTCAAGGAAAAGAAATTTTGCTTCGACCCCATTCAAGCAGTGCACTGCAATCCAGGTGATGCTTCTCTTCCGTGATTTTTTGACCAAAGATGGGTTTGTTTGTAATGTTGCATAATACTCTGGAATCTCCTCTTTTAGATAGTCAGAACGAGCATTAGATATATCGTTTTGCCTTACAAACAAAATTATTTATCTGCCAGCTTGTTCCACGCTTCCTTCAAGTTCTTTAAATATGTGGGTCCCTCCAAATATCTTGGTCATGAAGACAACTTTTAAGACCTGCTTATCCCAGCCCCTATTATTTTTTGGAGAGGTATACAAAACTGGACTGGAGACGAGGTTTTTGAGGGGAAGTAACGTAATTTTAGGAGCGTTGTTAGACCGAAGGCTAGATTTCCTCAGGGTAAGTAGCAGTGATGTATCTGTCAAATCGAAGCTTCAACATCCCCCCCCCACCACTATGGTCTATTCAGGTGATCAAATACCCCCACCCCAGGCAAGGGACAAACCTCTCGTGCAAAGCATCGGAAATCACTGCTAAAAGGTCACTGAATGTTCAGTTTTTCTTAGTGTGTCTTGCAACATACAGAGCGTTCTATAAAAAAATCCCATCTACTGAGATTATTTCATTCCATACATGCATGGATGTATTCCTCTAACTTATTAATTATATAGGTGATTAGTTTTTCCGGATGTTTTTCATGAGACTGACTTTGTCTAGCGTGTTGCACCTTTCTCGAGTAAACAGAAGTGAATCTAATACCGGGTCCGGAATGACTATGTTACTTCTGTTGGATCCATTATTTTTCAATGTTTCTCAGAAGTGATAACGTCACAATCGAAACCAAATTCAGAAAGGGCAGTATGAATAGAATAATCAGTTTAAATTAATGTAGATTCCACTGTTTGGAGATACTGCACATGGCACAGGCCTGCCAATTAGCAGCACTTCATGTTGATAAAGTAAATTCAGTAAATTCTAGGGAAGTTTTGTAAATAAAATTTTGTGGTTAAAATTTGTTCTCAGGTTCAACTAGAGTTTCTTTTGTCTCCTATGAATAATACTAGAGCTAGGAATGAAAAGAAACTGAGAATCAAACTAGGTTAAATATTGATTAATCTGAAATTGATTTTAACTGCAGCATATATAGTATCAAAATCTGCTGTCCTTTGGGTCGTATCGGTCTCATATTATAATGTGGCATGAAATACATGTAGTTTCAGAATAAAGAACAGTAGCTCTGATTGACTGAAATCAGGAAAAGAATGTGGTTCAAGTGTGAGCAACCATTTCTTGGGGAGGAGGCCATACAAGATAGAAATGCTACGAGGGAGACTACATGTAAAAAGTGAAGATATAGATAAAAAAAAGAGTCTACCAAGATGGGATTAAATTTAAATAAAGGGTCAATGTCTGTATTACAAATAATGTAAATGTGATAACAGGTGAATTCCTTTTTTTCTTTTTACAGACTGAGAGACAAGAATTTTGTTATGGAGACAACATTAGGACAGTGGTTTTGAAGCAGCCATGCATAGGTGAGAGCTTCATGAAAGAAATCTCTTTATTATTTCTTTTTATCTGCTGATTAACCCACAAAGAGACCGATTCATTGTGTAAGGACATACTATAGACTAAAGGGAAAAATGCAGTTTTATAGTACCGCCATTTCTCAAACAAAACAAATTTTAATATTAAAATCTATTTAGAAGAATTTATAGGGTGTGTTTGCACCGAAATTCTTGCATCTCCTGAAGAATGGTCAGTAATCAATCTTTTTTCCTGCAAATAAAAAACAATTCATAATATAAATTTGGCAAATAAAAACAAAGGTGATAGAAGAAACTGAGAGAGAGCGAAAAGGTGCCCATTGAGGAGTTTTCATACCTGTTGTTTGTTCTCTTTTATTGTAATAGCACCACTTACATGTACATGTACTACTCAAGCACCAACAGCAGTAATAATATTACAAAAATAATAACTTACAAAGTATATGCCAGACAGCTCTGTTGCTCAATATTGAGCATTTTAGTCTGCTAACAATAATAAAATGTTATCATTCATTGTCAAAGTATTTGATTAAAGATTACCCTAAATATAAAATGAATGGGAAAGTTAACATAAAATTAAAATTAATGTTCATATTAAAGTTAAATTGATGAAATTTAAACCATTTTTAGTCCTAAATTGCAAAAACGTAATGAATAAAATCTTATAATGTTGGGTTAATATTGCGTACTAGTATTTCTAGCACTGTCATGGAAGTCCATTACATTTGTGGAAATGTATTTATAGATAGAAATATTAGTAATGTATGTCCTTAAACTGGTAAAGTGAGTACATTTTCCATGTACTTGTTTTTGCATGCTTTTACACGTGTTACCTCTATGACCTGTTCTCATCCATATCTTAATGAGCAAACCTGTGTAATGTGTTGGTGACACCTGAGCTATTTGTCAAGATACAGAGACAGACCAATGAGGGTACTTTCAAGATTCTCATAAAGATGTCAGAAAGCCAGACAAGCTTATAACAGTCAATATTATTATTATAATTAAAGCTTAGGACACCAAATGGAAACACAAAGACATCAACATCTCTGGTAGCAATAAAATGCATACATACTCTATGTAGTAGTAAAATATGTTGTGTTGATAGGTCAGTGTCTTCTTTTTCGCAATATTATGGAAAACACAAGAGGAACAAGAGAAGGGAATTTAAAAACAGTTAACAGCAAAAAAGAAACAATAATGCGATTATCTAGAGGAATACAACAGGTTGAAGAAACCTTGCGAATCAAGAAAAACAATCGTCTCTTGGTGAAGAAACCATGTGTATCAAGCGTGAAGAAAATGAGTTAACTAATCAGAAAACAGATGAAGTTATTACAGACATCCAAACACGTATAAGAAGAAAGCAAATAGGTGAAAGGATATTAAATACAGGCTTATTGAAGTTCTCCTAGAAAGAAAATTCCGATGGCTCGTTGAGAATGGGTCCTGATGACTCGCTCAGAATAAGCCTGGCTTTGACTCGCTGAGGATTCTGGGTCTTGACTCACTGAGGATTCTGGGTCTTGACTCGCTGAGGATTCTAAGTCTTGACTCGCTGAGGATTCTGGGTCTTGACTGGCCAAGAACATGATTGGTTGGCTCGCTGAGAATAGGTTTGGATGGCTCGCTGAGGATAAGTGTAGTTGACTCGCTGAGAATGAATCTGGATGGCTCGCTGAGAATGAGTCTGGTTTTTTGGAACTGGGCTTTGACTCGCTGAGGATTCTGGATTTTGACTCGCTGAGGATTCTGGTCTTTGGCTCGCTGAGGATTCTGGGCCTTGCCTCGCTGAGGATACTGATCGTGTTCTTCCAAAAATGCAAACTGGACCATTTGCTAAGAGAGATTATAGGAGGAAAAAATTAATTAAATTGGGAATAATAAAAAAGAAAGTTTCACACAGGAAAGCAAATTTAGGGAAATAAAAAAAAACCTCGCGTAGGATTCTTTCCATAAGCACTTGTTGTGGTGGTGGGAGTATGTCTTTCTAGAAGGACATACTTCTACCTTTTTTTCCTTCATTTCAGGTGTGTGCAGGAAGCATTCAAGGAGTTGAATTTTCAAAGTAATGTCTAAAGGTGTGTTGAAAAGTCAGTTTTCACTTCTCAGCGTGTTATAGATAATTAGACATATAGCAAGCGTAGGGAACTTCCAAGAAGTGAAATAACTCTCAACATAGGTGGAAGTTAAAAAAAAAGAAGAAGAAGAAAACAAGCAGTCAAATATAATTATTAATTGATGGCCTTCAAACTTGTCCCTCAAGACATGAGCAATTGATACTTCAATAGCCATGGAAAAATATACTCGAGTCATCAATAAAATTAATGGTGAAATTATTTAACACAGGGAACACATTCATTTAATACAAGTGTAAAATTATCGTTGAAAAAGCTGAGGTTTTATTGACCCACAAAAAGTATAGAAGTCACTCTCCTGTTCTCCTCTCATGTAAGTAAAGGTTCTGCGGAAAGTAAACAAGAAGTGTAAAAGAGGGAGGGGGATTGGTTGAGCTACATGAATACTTCAGAAAAAAAAGTTGTGGTTGTAATATAGCAAAGAACATAACACAACAAGCAACTACGTATATCTTTTTTTTTTCTCTTACAGAGCAGAACACAACAGAGCAGGAGCAGAGCAGAGGCCAGCAGAACATAAAACATCAAAAAAATGAAAATTAGCTTTTGTTACTGTAAATCCTCTGTCTACCCCCTGCCCCCCCGGCATTTCAACTAACTCTCCCACTATAAATTACTCTCCTCTCCCCCCTTATTATTAATCAAAAAATAAATTGTTCACTATATTAAATATTATTCATGACTTAATACTCCATGTGAACCTATCTGATATGGTTAGTGCTGGAATGTCAGTTTTGCCTCAAAATTGCTCCCAGGGTGCTGTTAAAGTAAAAAGGATAATTTGTCAAAAAAAGAATAAGAAGAAGAAGAGAATTGTAAATAAAAAAATAAAAAAATTGAGGAAGTTGAGTAGTTTCTTTTCATATTATATAAATATTCAGGGATGTGCTCTAGCAGTACCCAAAGGCCTCTGGCACCCTCTTTTTGCTCTTGAGCAACGACGAATTCACTCTGCATTTCACAAGTTCAGATCTAACTACACCAACTACAGCTACTACACCAACTACACCAACTACAGCTACTACACCAACTACAGCAACTACAGCAACTACATCAACTACACCAACTACACCAACTACACTAACTCCACTAACCACACCAACTACAGCTACTACACCAACTACAGCTGCTACACCAGCTACAGCAACTACAGCAACTACGGTAACTACACCAACTACATTAACTACATCAACTACACCAACTACAGCTACTACACCAACTACACTAACTACACCAACTACACTAACTACACTAACGACACCGACTACACCAACTACAGCTACTACACCAACTACACCTACTACAGCTCCTACACCAGATACAGCAACCTTAGCTACTACACCAACTACACTAACTACACCAACTACAGCTACTACACCAACTAGAGCTACTACACCAGCTACAGCAACTACAGTAACTACACTCTAACTACATCAACTACACCAACTACAGCAACTACACCAACTACAGCAATTACACTAACTACACCAACTACATCAACTACAGCAACGACACCAACTACATTAACTACACCAACTACAGCAACTACACCAACTACAGCAACTACAGCTACTATACCAACTACACTAACTACACCAACTACAGCTACTACACCAACTACAGTAACTACAGCAATTACATTAACATTCTCATAGTGGACTTAGTGGTCACTTAATGTCTCTATATTCGTGACCGTTATCATGAACCCATTACAATTCAGAATCCAACATTAAAAAATGGACCTTAAAGTGGTACATTTTGGCAAAGAATCTCTGTGAACATAAAAAAGCTGTACGTTTGAATTTAAATAAAACGCAAATAACAAACAAACAAATTCCAAACAACTCAAAATACTCTAAAGTTTCATCACCATGCTGCTTAATATTATTTTTCCATGTCAGGAAACTTTTATGTTCATTTTCCTTGTTTGCGTTCTTCTAAACACCATTCCAACTACAATTATAAGCAAAATTTTGATTTTTAACGTTTTATCCTATGTATCTCAGAAACAGTTCGTTCCATTCGGTTTAACTCGTAACGTAATCTTCGTAATACATTTGTGTATAATAATGATGTGCTTAATCGTTCATTACCATTGGTTCACAACAACACCCTTAAATTCTAAGCCAAACCTACCCAACGTTCAGCGCCAAAAATCTGCGTTGCGATGATCCTGGCCTGTTAGTAGGAGGTTTGGCTTAGAATTTGAGTGTTTTGTACAGACAATACTGAGTAGTTTAAACCCTATCTTCAGTTAGATACACGCAAGCGATAATTAATCTGGAAAATTTTGATAAGCTTTGCGGTACTCTTCATCAGAGTGTTTTTGCACCGTATAAAGTATTATGACAAAGGTTATGGTTTCTTGAACTTTCTGGAAAATGTTATCGGCATTTGACGAAAATGTGCTCTCTGCGATCACCAGATTAATTTTGGGAAGGACTTAACCCGCTTAATAGACACCCGTGCGAACAACAGACAATTGTTTTTTGCCCAATGAACAGATTCTCAAAAAAAAAAGTTAACTTCTCGCGAACGGTCTTAAGGTGGACACTTCATTATCAACTGTGTGCTGTAATAGACTTTTCTTCCCCGTTGGCTGCTTGTCGGTTGCTCCCGGCGCTACAGTACACCGAATAGGATGACTTGTAGACGTCAATTTCCGACTATTTTAGCATCAAACGAGTTACAGTTGAACTTTATCTACAACGACGACCTAGGGGACAGAGGAAAGTGGCCATTGTAGAGAGGTTGTTCACAAGAGTGAATGTATGGACTGTCCGCCAAAAAAATGGCCGTTGTAGAGAGGTGGCCGTTAGTGGAGGATCGACTGTAGACAGAAAAACGGTTTTGTTGAGTTTTGATTATTGTTTCCGTGGAGCAGAATGACGGTTTTTTCACAAAGCCGTCGGTTAGAGATGTGTAATTTGGCGATTCTAATATTTCCTCCATTATTTCTTTAGTGTTTTGTTCTAGTAAGGGGCGTCTTTTTGACTTAAATAACATGACTCGCTTTTCCGCTTAACACGGACACCCCTCTAAAACGGACACTTTCTATGGCTCCTTCAGTGTCCGTTGTAACGGGGTTTGACTGTGTTTGTTTCGCCTCATGAAGGGACTCCGGATTCCGGAATCGAAGAAATTTTTCCTTGTGGAAATAGCCTGCGTAGCAGGCGCTTGGAAGTGGTGGGCACAAGAAAAAACGAGCGCGGGAGAAGGAGACACGCAAGGGGAGAGGTAGCGCCTGCCCGGAAGGCCCAGAAAATCGTTTCCCACCCCCTCTCCAATTACCTGGCAGCCGTTGGGTGATCTGTCAAAAGTTTTGACAGAAAACGACTGATCGCATGACCTCGCACAAACAAAGCGTGCCACCAAAAAGCGTTGTACATTTTATCTTCGGTCTAAATCTATCTGTTATAAAGATCAGCTGGGTTATCTGATTATAGAGCGATGGAGCAATAAACTGCTGGTTAACACACAGCTTCAAATAGTTTTTAACAACCGGGCACAATAAATAGGAAATAACAAAGTCAAAACTGGGTATCTTTTAAAGATTGCATGCTCTGTATTATAAAAATCTAAAAATACTGTTCTCTGAGCTTACTTAGCCACAACTGGACAGACACCAACGATCACAGCGTACGTGCAAAATGACCATTGCTTTTACTGCGCCAAGTGGCAGCCGTTTTTGGAGCAGACATGTCTTACTAAGCGGACCTAAACCTCAGAACGCAAACTGTACCGACATGTTTTCTACTGCAGTAACGAGACATAAACAACAGACCTCAGGTCGCCCCCGAACGGCGAATAATACAATAGTAAAATGTTTTTTTCAAATTCATGCCCCTGGTAAGTGTTTCATTTCATCAATCATGTCCAAGTTTTGATGGTATACGTTCCATCGACAACACAAGCCGCTAAGTTCTCCTGAGCAAAGAATATTTCCTCTCATCTTCATTGCAACGATTCGACAAATCTTTTGTCTCTCGTCACTTCTGCTAATGCGTATCTGATGTCAATTCTTTCCATCGTGAATACCGTTTGAACACTCCAACTTCTCTTTGAGATTACGGCCACATAGTCCCATCAAACCAGATTGAAGTGACCTCCGAGACCTGAACTTCGATTTTATTGTATGACCTGAACTTCGATACAATTAAGTGCTTTCAGGAGCTATTGGTGTAATGTAAGATATTCACTACGTTGTCCATGTACTATTGATTGACAGTTTTCTCGCCCCGCGCAGTTAATTTTTCCCTCGGGAGCCTCTCGACCAATTGGAAATATCCGCACTCACAGAGTGCGAGTTGAAATGATTTTCGGGGGCCTTCCGTGCAGGCGCTCCCTCACCCCTCGCGCGTCTCCCTCACGCGTGCCCGTTCTCTCTTTCGCCCACTACTTCCAGGCTATGTGGAAACGGAATCCGGAATCCCGCGAAAGATTGGGATCCGGAATCCAGGTTCCACTGACAAAGACTGCAATCCAGTACCTGGAATCCAGAATTCCCTGCTTGGAATCCAGAATCCACGACTGTCTTGGATTCGTTTACTCGGGGTGAAAAATCTTTGTTTCAGTTGTTGGTCTCTCTAGCATTTGATCATGAGCTATAAAAAACTGTCAAGGGTAGATAAACAAAATTATTTATCATAGTCATGTTAAAATCTTTAAGAATAAAAATCAACGATAAAAAATTTTTGACGTCTCGATGACTCGCTCATCATTTTCAAATTCTAAAAAGTTAGATTGTTAAAAGTTCTTTATATATTAAGAATGCGTGTGAAGTCTCGTTGCACGTGATTAAAAACTACAATGTGGAATGTAGTGAGTGTTAATTAGGTACTAAATAGTTTCCCTTTTATTGAGTCTGATTGAGTGTTCAGTTTGGGTTTCTTTTCCTGGATAAAAAGCATTTCGTAGATCAAGCATTCAAATTTCCCTCGACATTTCTTCAGTATAGTGAATTGTTCAGTGAGGTCTTTGTTCTTCTGATTGTGAGAGTCACGCAGGTGTTTTCCAATAGCTGAGTGCTTGTGTTCATCAATGCGTTGGAAAAGGTGTCGGCGAGTATAACCAACATAATTCGCATCACACAGATCACATTTGAATTTGTAAACAACGCATTGTTGAGCGAGTCATCGAAACGTCAAAAATTTTTTATCGTCGATTTTTATTCTTAAATGTTTATCGAAAGCGTCTGTTATTTATAGCATGTTAAAATCGTTAATGATTAAAGTGATTTGTCTCATCGATGACAGCTTCGTTTCATCGCTTGTCTCATGATGGTCACAGCTTCAGTGATTTTGACGACGATTTCAAAATACTTTAAGCCCTCACCATATGGTCTAAGCGTTGTGAATGAAAATCATAGCCTTAGTTTTCAAACAATTTCCCTTAGTTTTACAAAAAGTTCTCTCGTTTTACCGCGGTCGTCGGCTTTTCGCCACCGGGGAAGGAAGTGTCGTTCGCCTTTAAGTCTCTTTGGAGAACTTAGATTTTGTACTACCAATTTTTTTTAGCTTTTGTAAACATAATTTGTTGTTCTGCTTGTTAGTAAGAATCTGGCAAATAGATGTTATCGTTTTTTTTTTCTACCAGTGTCTTAACAAGTCGGGCGTCGATGAAAGGAGTTCCATTGATACATAATTATTAGAATTACAAGTAGACTAATGAAACTGGATTAAGTCTTGAACATTTATTGCTACTCAGAGTTTCAGGCTTCTTGGGAAGCAATCATCAGGCAACCTATGATCAAGTGACAATCATCAGACAATAATCGGGCAACTGTTGCCTGATGATTGCTTCGCAAGAGGAATGAAACTCTGAGTAGCAAGAAAAGTTCAAGATTTAATCCGGTTTAATCAGTCTCACACTAGTATTCTGCTCTAGTTCAGCTATTGAGCACTTGTAAAGTCGATGAGGAATACGTTGTAATTATTAGAATTATGTATGTATCGTTATGTAATTTCTATTATAAAGCCGCCCACCCCCTTCCCACTTATAAGTCTCCCCTGTTATAGGTCCATCTACAGTATTTGTATCGTGGGGAGAAGTCTGTACCCCAAACATACAAACCCCTGTAATACTTCTCTACTTAAAGGAGCCATATCTCTGTTAGTTTTCAACAAATCACTTTCAAGCTAGGCTTTTTCCAGTGGTGTCGACGGATTTTCGTAACACTGTCCTAAATTGTCCATGTCAAAAGTTAAACAATCAATCAATCAATCAATTAAAAAAAAAAGGTAATAAGGTCTGTTCAAAACGTATTCTGATCAGCACTGTTACGTAGCTTGTTTTGAAACGCTTATTTAGTCCCATTATGAGGGGATGTTTACCGGTTTCTGGGTAATCGAGTTCGATGTTTTTCAGTCGGACCCGAATATTAACTCGGACCTGATTTCGTTTAATCGAGCACGATAACAAATCAGGTCCGTTTTCTAGTCGGGTCCGATATGTTTCAGATTCCAAAACTAATCGGGCTTGAATTCTTGTTAAATGGAGCCCGATAAAGTAATCGGACTCGATTTAAATTAATCGGGCCCGAATTGTCTTAAATCGGGCCCGATTTCTGAATGTCTGATCCTGTCAGAGGGAAACTCAATCGGGTCCGATTTCTCGGTAAATCGGACTCGATCGTTTTGACAGTCAAAATGTGGGGGGGGGGGGAGAGGGTAGGTAGAGAACATCTTCAAAGTACGGAAAAAGGTATACTTTTCAAAGGAAAAAGTAACGGAAATGTTTCTTCATAAATAGAAAGGCGGAAGTTATTATCTCGTCGCTTCTCGTCCCTAGGAAAAAACAAAACAAAACAAAACAAACGAAAAAAGACAGGTGGTAACGTAAAATAACCACTGGTAATTCTCATGACGGAGAGGCTGCTTAATGTCCAGTTCCGCCAACCCGAAGATGTCTCAGTTACACCCCGGAAAAAATAGCCGCGTGAATCTGAAGTTAAGTTATTAGGCTGAGGAATACATGAGTGTATCAGGTTCCACTAACGCTCAGCAAGCTTACTTGAAACTTGATTCACTTAGTTTCCAAACTCTAATCAGAATTCGGGGTGGGTGTTTGGATTCCGCGTTTTACGCAAACCCCTTTCATGGCCATCTAGGCCATTCTCCCTAAAACTTCGCGAGTTTCTGCCATACGATAAAAGCATGTGATACTAATAGCTTCGCTAAAATTATGATTGACCGCAATCAATGAAAAAGAAAAAGGGAAAAAGGATTTTAAAACTTAGTTTGGTCTTTAACCAAAGGACAAATTTTGAATTTTATCTATTTACTTTTTGAAGGGGTTTTGGTGGGGGGGGGAGGAGGGGCAGGATTTGTGTAATTGTTCCCTGGCTCAACTCTGCTTAACGTATATAGCGATTTACTTCCAACTAAAGATGGTGTCTATACTTGATTGATTGTTTGTTCCTTTTGTTAAAAGGGAAAAAATATGCCTTTATTTTTCTCCCATTTCAACAGACGTTTTATCTGATCTAACAGTGAGGAGAAATAAGAAGGGGACTAACGTTCTAGTCCCCAGATTGTCTCGTCCCTCCCCCGCCGCCATAACTTGTGACAACCAAGTGGCAACCTATGTGATTTTATTTCTAAAATCTGTACTCGTACTCTCTATCTACGCATTAATCCATGTGTCAAGCGGTTGAAACGCCCGGTTTGATATAAATGGTGGCTTCCCTTCAACAAAATCGGAATGTTACTGAAACACAAAGCGGTTTTTCTTTAATACCCGTGAGGTAAGTGTTCGAGCAAATCTATTTAACCTTTAATAATTATTAAACTATACCCTGCTAGTCGGCGTAAGCGTAAGTTATGCTCAAGTCTTCAAGGAAAAACTTTTTTTTCTGCAATGACTGAACATTAACGTTTGCTGCAGGTCTTAGGCTTTATATTTTTCACATGGCCGAAATGAACTTCATAAAAAGTCAAGTAAACATTGAACAATTAGTCGGCTCAGGCGACGTGAATATCGGCGAATAGTCACTGAGACGACGTCGAGGTGACTATTCGCCGACTATTACTATACTATTTTCGATATTCATCAATGTAATTATACTAATAATGGTTAAACTTAAAGACTTACGTTTATGCTGAACGCATTTCATTTATCATTGCATGCCAACTTTGGTGATCTTTTAATACAACCAGTTTCAAAATTTGAATCGACAGCTTCATGCAGTCACACAAATTAGACGGAACTGGAGCTCAACTGAAACTGATAAGCTTATAATACTATATTTGCAAAAATTTCCGGTTACTAAAACTGTAAGAGTTTCTACCCTTCATATCACGTACTCATGAGGAATGGTAGACACCTTAAGATGCACAGATTCAATAGGTGGGTATGCCTGCCAACTCTCATGCATTGTGCGCGAGTCTCACGCCTGCAGACTAAAGACATCAATCTCGTACTTCAAGGACAGTTTCTCAAACCTGCCTCACAAATCCAGACAAATTGTTCTTAAATACGTGATGAGTGACAAAAGTTTAATTCAATTTCCACAATTAATATTCCAGGCTTTGAATGATGACTTTTGTGTTCCAACAAAATCAAAACACGCTAAAGTTGGTGTCTTTTACACCAGTTTCGAAAGTGCTCAAAGGCCGTCAGAACATCTTCGCAAGTTTTTGGGAAGGTCCACAAGGCTCCCGAAACTGTACAGAAAACCTCGGGAGTTCACTGGGACGGTCATGATCGTGGAAAGGCAAAAATCTGACACATTTGACCAGAAAAAGTTGGCAGGCATAGAATGAATTGTGTCTTACCAGGAAAAAAAAAGCCGGGTACCTCTTAGAAAAGGGATACTATTATTGCCAAATTAATTTTGCGAAATTACTATGTTTGGCTATCTGTTTCCATGGACTGAATAGATGCATCTTAAGGTCCCTACAATGTCAGTGGGGGATAACACTTCATCTGTCTCCCTCTCTTTACATATTTTGTCATAACTGCCATTTAAATAATTGCCGATGGTTTCCTGGTAATTTTCTATGCTAATTTGCATTCTATGACATGTTTTGAACCTTACTCGATTGTATGTTTAATTTTTTTAAAAATATTTCTTTTGAAACAGGTTTAAAATGCTCTCGACTACTCTACATGCAGCCTAAAAAATTAATGTTAAAAAGCTATTTTTGTTTTGTTTTTTTCTTTCACCCAAAAAGTTATGGTAATCTTCCAAACTTTGTTACGTCCATTTTGAAATCACTGGTAATCCCTGCAATCTGATAGGCGCTAAACCGTTATCTGTATAAAGGACCTCATTCATGCTCTTAATTGTATCATTTCTGTTCTGGGTACAAAATGAAATGTGGTGGCCTTTTTATTATTGCTTTTCATCAAACCAGCTTCTAGATCAAATAAATATTGCCACTGGCTAAATTCTGTGATTTCAAAATGGCTGTAAAAAGTGACAATTCTAGTAGTCTTCTTGCATCGTGGTCTGAAATCGTAATATTGTGAATAGACCTTTTTACCGACATTGTGGCCATATTGAATTGAAACCCAGGGGGCATTCGCTCAGTATTTATGCATGATTTTCGGGCAAAGAGAAACATCAAAACACGGTACAGCCATCTCTATATTTTTTCCCTTTAAGAAAAATTGGGCCAAGAAGTGCGTGTAAATAATGAGTGAGTATATCCGATAATGCTCATGCCGCTTGGGCGCCCCCTGATACTCCCTTAAATCTATTGTGTTGCACTGTAATGTACATATGTGAACAATGTCCAAAAGAGCAAGACCAAACTACGTAGTTAGGATAGCATTTTTACTTCTTTCGTAAACTTAAACTTCTATATTATGATTTCGGTTGACACTTGAGACCAAATGGAACAGTAATTGCCTGATATTTGGACCAGACTAGCCTGCGTAGCAAGCGTTTCCTCGCGATCTTCGTCTAGAAAGCTGGGACAAGAGCAAAAAAAAAATGAATGACAGGGGAGGGGGAGGGGAACGAAGGAACCGCTTGCCCGCAAACCCCACGATTTTGAAAAACTGCGTTCGCCCACGAACGCAGCTTCTGATTGGCGCGGTGCGGGTAGTGTTGATTACTTAGCATTCAAAACATCAATCAAACCAAGTATGCTTTGTTTTCGGGCGTCACAGATCTCGTCTCATCTGATTTGTGGTCGCAGATTACAAATGCTTTGGACTGATATTTATTGGAATCGTGTTTGTGCGAAGGTTTATGAGATCAGAGTCTTCAAAGTATAATTGGAGATCGAGCAGTGGAGACTAGGGAAGCCCAATTTATTGAGAATGACGGCGTGCAGATCTGACTGGCAAAAATGGACTGTTTGTTGGAGATAACATCAACATAAATCAGAACATTGGTACTCGACGGTAGCTAAAGCCGCCATGGACAAGCGATTTGTCAGCTTTTTGAAATGAAAAGATTCTTTTTGTTTATTGGAAATTTAGCGGCATCTATTGTAGAGAACGTTTCGACACAGGCTGAAGAGCAGCCGCTCTGCGAAACTTATACCCGGAGGAGTGAATTGTTCCGGACAAATCATTTTTGACATGTCGACAAGGTTTCAGACGAGATAAAGCCACACAACAAAAAACAAGAAATTCTGCAGCAATTGCTCACAGTTTTAACTTTCTTTTATCGCAAATCTTTTTTATTACACTTCTTGCAATCGTCTGCAACGTGTTCTATTAGAGAACAAAGTAATTTTACAAATCTGGTAATCCAGGGGTATTAAATCTGTTCGTTATGTTTCTATTTTGACGAGCTGTCAATTTACAAATGAACCGAACCGTGAAATATCAAGGGGCGTTTTCCAGAATCGTGGGGTTTGCGGGCAAGCGTTTCCTCTCTTCCCCTCCCCCTCCCCCTTCAACCTTTTTTGGCTTCCGCTCTAACTTTCGCGCAAAAACTCGATTGGAAACGCTTGCTACGCAGGCTAGGACCAGACAATTTAAAAGACATAACAAAATTGGTGGATACTGCTATTCATCTACATAAATCAGTTTACTAGCAAATCTTTTATTATAATTGTGTATATAGTCATATCTTGTGGTTGCAGTTCAATAGTTAAGCTTAACTCAGATTATTAGTTCAATTATCTTATAAGTACATAAAGGCTATAATAAATCTATTTTTTACCTACCTCTTTTAGCACATTATGTCTTTTAAAGCAACCTCTCAAACGCAGGACGAGGTAAATAAAGTCAATAAAGGTCAGGAAAAAGAGAGTTGTTGAAACTAATAATTAGATGTACCGGTACGCGTCTTTTCCAATATGGCGGGGGAGCTTGGGGAGGGTAACCCTTGGGGAGAGCGATCCCTGGGGACGAGAAGCGACGAGATAATAACATTTCCGTTTCTTTTTCCTTTGAAAAATATACCTTTTCCGTGCTTTGAAAATGTTCTCTACCTACCCTCTGCCCCCATTTTGACTATCCAACGATCGATCGATTAAGTTACCCTCTGACCGGATAAGAAATCGGGCCCGATTTAAAACAAGTCGGACCCGATTAATTTAAAACGAGTCCGATTACTTTATCGGGCCCGATTTAACAACAATTCGAGCCCTGAGTAGTTTTGGAATCCGATCTGAAACATATCGGACCCGACTAGAAATCGGACCCGATTTGTTATCGTGCTCGATTAAACGAAATCGGATCCGAGTTGATATTCGGGTCCGACTGAAAAACATCGAACTCGATTACCCAGAAACCGGTAAACATAAGCTCTCATAAAACCCCTTAGGAAGTTGTATAAGCCCAGGGGTTGAAAGAGGAAGTTTACGGTAAGTGTAATTTCATACCCTGTCAGACGATATTTGAACGGAAAAAAAATATGTTTTATTTGTGTCACGTTCTCCAGACACAAAAGCCAAAGGTCTTCAGACATCCTGTTTATATTTCTTCATTTTTTCCATTATCCTTTAAGAAGTTAGCGTCATTTCAAACCGTGCAAGCATATGTATAAGTAGTACTAGTAAGCTTACTTCTGAAGGCTTTTTAGTCACATTTTATGCCGTCAGAGAAAGTTCAATCTAACTGTGCATAAAAACAACTTAAAATGGCGCAGCGAGGTCCACCAAGGAGAATTACTCGCAAAGAGACTATTGCAGACCTTGCAAAGGATTTAGAGCTTCTCCGAGTGGACAGTAAAGATTATGGGGAGACAATGGACAGCATGGCAAAAGCTCGAGACTTGAGGATCAAAGAATTGAAAAAAAGTAATGGAACTTTACTGGAGGTATGCTTTTCTTATGTTCTTAAAACGTTCCATTTCAAATTCGAACAAGTCCCGCCAAGAAAATAAATACGCTGCCGACATCAGAACTTGGAGAACAATCTGTCCCAGGTGCAATATAGCGGGGACAGATCTCCTACGCTCGCCGTCGCGCTGATTTCAACAATTTGAACTTCCGTCTGTGCCTTTTTTCCCTGTTTACCTATAAGTAGCTTCAGCCGTTAGTTATATACAGTGTAACCTCTATTAAGCGGACACTAAGCCGGGTCCCGAAATTAACGTCTGATATTTCCCTTTATAACGAGCCCCTATTCAGCGGACACCTCTCTTAAGCGGACACCGGACTGGATTGACAACAGTAGTATTGGATCACGTCGTGGAGATACGTACTGTAGTCGATTAGTAAAGATAAATTAATACATTCAGCTGTCAAAAGTTCGCCTAAAAGTCTTGCACAAAGTACAGCACCGCTTCCTTAGCTTCCTTAACAACAGAAACTTTATCACAGTACAGACTAACCGTTGAATGTTAATTGTTAACAAACATTGCGCAAAAATGAGAGGAAGATCGTGAGAGACCTTTGCTAGCATGAAATGGTAATGTCTTCTTATGACGTTGGATCAAAAGTGAAAAATAAAAATTACCTAAGATAAAAAATTAACTACAACATGTATGTAAGTATTGTTTTCTAGTTAGGCGAAACTAAATAAATATAACAAGGTGTTGATTCGTTTTTCAAATCTTGATGTAGAAGATACCTGAATTAGAAGACCTCGTTTTATATCCGTGTACTTCATCTGTTTTGATGAAGAAAGAGCAAATGCTTGCTGGTGTAAACTTACATGAAATGTTATGCATTAAGGAGGAAAAGGGTTCAAAATAAAGCAAATTCATTGGAAGGAGATTAGAGGAAATGAACAGAGGAAAAGCATGCTCCCTTGTCTTAGAAAAATAGATTAAACGAAGGGCGCGCTTCTGTAGCACGAGCCTGGGGGGTACTCCCTATAATGGCCTACACGGGGGGGCTCCGCCCGAAAGGGGTACCTTTTTCAGGCCTCAGGTATATGAAAGGGGGGGGACTTCACTATTTGAAGTATTAAAGTGTAGGGAGACCTGTTATTTGTGCCCGTGAAAGGGCCCAAAGGGCTGACAGATGAATTTTATAGCTTTAAAAAGTCGAGAAAACGTTCTATTTTTGTGATTGATCCCTATTTAAAAGACAGCGCATTCACAGCAGTTAAAAGGGATGCAAAGGTCTAAAGAAGGTATGAGAAAGGGGTACGATTCCTCAATATAAGGTATACAAAAGGGGTACCTTTTTGGTGAAAAATGACATATAAAAGGGCAAGGGGTTGGACCTTCGGGGTGGAGCCTCCCCGTATAAAAATTTGTTGAGTACCCCCCTGGGAGAATTAGCAGCTTGTCCCAAGCAACCAGTCCTTTGGAAAAATAAGGGGATAGCAGAGAGCGATACATATAAAAAAAGAAATGAATAGACGATGTTGTGACAAAATGTAAGAACGTGAGAACCCGGGATGTTCATTTCCATTTTTCTTGGGTCAGCTTTCATAATGAACAAATTCTTCCAAAAATACTCCTGATTTGGCGCTAAAGGAAGTTATTAGAAAAGTAAGAAGAACCAGGAAGTAAGGCGATCATGACAGTGTTAAGGAAGTGAATGATGACAATGATAAGTATGTCACGCAACGGGCTGGCTTTTGTCCAATACGTAAATCAAGTTGTCCGGCTATTGAACGGATATATAGTGTCGGTCCAGAGGTTGCGTCGTCTGTTGTAAGAGAGTAAGACTGTATCCCTTTTGCTTAACGAGAGGTACAATTTCTTGGGAAAGTGTTGCCTGAATGCTATTCATTACCTTGTTTGTTCTTGTAGGGTTACGACAAAATCCTGAAAGACCTTAAGCAAACTCGTAAGCGAAGGCATGTTTTAAAGGACTATTATTCGAAAATAAAGGAAGTTCTTTCCGATACGCAAGAAATCGCTCTGCAAGAAGAGGCCGACTTTGTGAACAGAGCTAAAACATGCAAAAAGGATCTCAAAAAGAAGAAATTCACAGTTCTCGTAGCTGGTAAGCAGATTTAAAAGGATCGTTTTTCCCCATGTTTACCAAGAGCTTTGAAGACTATCACTTCCAAAAAAACCTTTGAATCACAGTGAATGTACATATCCCTTTAATAAATCACTTTATTTGACTAAGTTAGCTACTAGAAATAATAAAATCAATTCCCCAGCCCAAACAATTTTACGCAAGCGGTAAAGCAGTGACCTTTCTATATGACGATATTATTAAACACTAGAGACTTTTTATAAATTCGACGACGAGAACAACTACGAGTACGAGATTTGACTTAAAGCACGTTCGCGTTTCTCAAAAATATGGACTCCTCGAAAAGCTTCATTTTACCATTTTTCTCTAGAAAATTTAAGACTGTTATCTTCCGTGAAAGAGGTTACGCCCTCTCCCGATGGCAAAATGATAAAACTGCTATCAGTTGACATCTTGTTTCCGCCACTTCGCTAAGACCAGGACGGGAGAGGAAAGAACTGACAGCAAACTTTGTGTGACAAGCGTGACAATAATTTTGTTTAAATAACTTTCCGCCAAACTCCACTTTCCTTTAAACAGATCTTTTTGTAAAAGACCAGAAAACATTGATGTTAGAGAAGATCGCGACAAAAAACGCAAGTAATAGCCCCGTCACGTTCGCCACGCACAAGCGATTTGCCGTCCTCACTAGAAGACGGGACTCGTAGTGAAGTGACGACGCCACCTCGTTTTTGCGCCAAAATGACATTGGCTCTTGCGCGAGCACTACTTTAGTATTGAGAAATTCTCGTACTCGTAGTGGTACTCATCTTAGAATCTAAAGCTCTCTAACGCTTACTGACGTAGGACGACTTTTAAGTTTAACTTTATATTCAACAGGGGAGACCAGCGCAGGGAAAACCAGCCTGATAAACCTATTACTAAATGAACAAGTTCTTCCAACTGGCCTACTGGAGAACACCCTTACTATCTGTGAAATATCTTATGGAGCCAAGCGAGAAGCAGTCATACATTTTGCTAGAGAAGGAACGCCCTCTCTTATACTAGAGAATATCAAGTCTGATACCTTAAAACAGCACATCGAAAAACCAACCAATGATAAAGACTGGTGTAAAAAAATTGAAATCAAGACACCGAATTCACTGTTACAGGTAATTAACGTATAATTTAACAATTAATGAATGATGGTGAGTATCTTTTGACGAATTATGGAGATCGAGGAGGGTGTTATCCGTCGACGACGTAGGCCGAGGCGCATAACACCCTCCGAGATCTCCATAATTCTTCACATGACACGAAAGCTGAATTCAATAATTGTTTTATTATTCATTCAAAATAATTCCTAGTTTAAAAACACAGCTAAAACTTGCTTACCTCCATCGATCCATCGATGTTAAGTTCATCTGTGATAGTGCACGTTTAGGGTTGTTCCGCTCCGCAAATATTCTCCAAATAGCAGATGTCGCTCTTCGAGTTTTACTTCTTGCTGTTCTTGTCTCTCTTTAGCTATTATTTTGCCTAGTTCTTACTCTTGAAACGAGTGAAATGTCCGCCATTTTTGTTTCACAACCAGAACAACACAACCTCGTCCCCAGGTCGTCTCGGTTAACGGTGCATTAACCTGCAAAAACGCTGCATTTTTGACGTCATTTCCTCGCTAAACGCAACTGGTTATGGTGAATTATGCGTGTGCTTTTAGCCAATCAGAATCGGGGAAATATTTTGAATTAATAATAATCAACAATATTTACTGAGCCTGAGGTGAATAATTATTTTAGAATATACACACAAAGTGATCTCAACAGAATCTGAAAGGAAACCATGAAAAAAAAAACGATTAGTTTGATTCAAGGGTGAATTCATGCGTGAACATGTAGCCGTAAACAGCAGATGCACAATAGGTGGATCTTTACAGTATTTTCAAACATGGCAAATCATACTTTAAATTTTTTTTTGTAAGCTTTAGCATCAACGATTGAAAAGAAAACGTTGAAAGTTTAAGAGCAGTTGTCTGTAAGATTCGAGCTATATTAAAAAGGCGCTGCCACACTATCTCACCGAATTGGCTAAAAATTGGCATGTAGACTTGATTTGAGGTCTTTAATAAGGAATAGGTAACTTTAGGTTCTAATTCCTCCTATTTCGGAAATTATCGACATGGCCGGTTTTTGGGTGCCTCGGACCGGCGCCATATTGGTTAATAGAAGCTGCTTTTGAGCCTTCGACTACAACCCTGTCTTCAAAGCTAATCTTCCTTTGCCAATACAGATTGAAAGAACAATCCCTCTTTATTGTATTTTTAGAAACTACTTCGAAATTGATAACGTTTTCGCAACGATCGATTAAACTTTCGGTGGGTATACTTTTTGAAATTTTTACACCCGCAAAATTAACAGAATTTTAAAGGCTTATATCTCTTTTGCCACATCGCATTGAAGCTTGCCAATCTGCCTGAATACTCACTGTTTGTAGTTAAATCGAGTTCGTTAATAAAAAAAATTGGGCAAATTCAACGGAGCAGAAACAAAAGTAATGAATGAAAGAGTGTTCTAGCGACTTTGTCAATAATCTGTACACCGAATACTCGCCAGGTGTTGCCAATAATAGAGCTTCTGTCATTAAATCTGAGTGATCTGTGTAATAAAATTAGCCTCTGTAATATAATCGATAATTCTGCTGCGAAAAACAGTATAAAAAAGGCAGATTGTATAGGGAAAAGGAAAATGAATTTGTTATGTTTATGCTACGACGCGTAAACAAAATTCAACCATCACAGTCGAACAGGAATTTTCCTGATTTTCCTCCAGTTCCTTTATCGAAACCAGAGCTTTTAAAATTAACCATAGTAATGAAAATTGAGATGTATTACCTTACTCGACGACAAAGTTGCCAGTTTCCACCTTGATCGAAAAAAAAGTAATATTTTCCCATGCATATCGCGGGTCGTCACGTTCCTTGCCTGGCGTTACAACTCACGTGAAACCGCCTGGTTTCAAACAACTGAACTGAAGAATCCGTGAAAATCTTAGCCAGGCAATAAATAATGGAAGTTGATATAAGTTATCATTATTAGTGAGCGAGGATGCGATGATATTTCCAGCTACATGTATTTACAGCGTTTGAAGATTCACTCAAAACTCATGAGACATGAGTCCTTGAAATAAACATCATTACTTCCGGTTTTAAAAATTGGGCGTTGGCAAAGTAATGAATAGACTCATTCTACCTTGTACACCGTTAACAACGGTTCCGTGTACAATTTTCAGGTATTTTGTCTCAATCACGAAGCCCGTTTTGAGGAGATTCTTGATAAACAGAAAAATTGGTTTGGAAGGGGTTAAGAAGAATGAGGGATCAGCCCGGGACAGCAAAAACCACAGTCACCCGACCGAAGGGCTTTAAAACTGTGCGCAAATGTCTCACCCTATATTTTAGGGACAATTCCAACTTTTCGTTTCCTTGAAAAAGCTTAAAATCGCTAGACAATGCATGGACAACTCAAGACAGTCCTAATTCAAAATAAAGTAAACAGCAAAGAAAATTCAGTTAGCGACCAGAGTGTTTATCCGATATCGCGAACAATAAGGAGTGATTGAAGATGTGTCTGCAGTTTAAGGTAAAATCATTTACCATGCTCACGGACCTTTCGACAACATAAGTGTACCGATTGACGTAATATCAGTGGTAAAAAACGAACGCTTTTTACTGTAGGACGATGACGTCATCATACAAAAGGCGCCTTCACTCTGGCATCCAGAATTTCAAACTATCAAAACCTAATTTTCTCTGCTCGTCAACTCAAAAACGCCTCTGAGGGCAAGTAGTGGTAATGTGCTTGTTAGTAAGGTCCAACATAAGGAGACATTCATAATCAACTCGGTTAATGCATTGATAAAGCGAAACTTTCTCCTTTACCCTTAGGGACAGAGTTCAAAGGCGCAAAAGATTTTTAGTTCAGCTCCAGCATGTGTTGTCTAGCGATTTGCCTTGAGCTTCTCTAAATTTTCCAGATCAAACAAGCTGTGCCGATCGTATATAATCTTGTCTGGGCTCCCTTTAAAAATTGCACTTCATCAGATGCCTTCAAGGTCATCCTCCGTCGTGATCTATTTTAATGGGCGGTTTTCTGGAACTATCCTACGGCTTGTCCTTTCTGGTCGTAACTATATTAGCGAGCACGTTTCAATTTCTCTCCAGCAAAAGTCTCTATCAGGAGCGTAGCCAGGATTTTTCAGGTGTGCGTAAAATTTCCAAAACTTACCCTAACATCTCACTCAGTTCTCTCGCAACGTTTCCCCATTACATTTGCTAATTCTGTTAACTAGGTGAGGTTGTGCGTGGATGAAATGGCACTTGCAGTCGGTGAGAAAATTAGGTTAGACACTTTACCCTCAAGGACGACTCTCACGTTTTGCTGACACTTTCTACCTTAGAAGAGATAAGTGAAGCTTTGCCTTCCAAACTCCGTGTAAAAAAATGTCGTTCGGCTGTTCAAACTACTTTTAGAAAACAACAAACTTCCCAACTTTAATTTTTAATAAAGGGATAAGGGCAGGAATCCAAATTGTTTTGGAGTATTTCACTGATTTTAACACGATGATTCTGAAGTAGTGTCTAGTGAGTACGGGGGCTAATGCCCCATCGTAAAAATCTGAAAATGAAAACAAAAATCTTGTATAACCGAGTAGTACACAATTTTAGTTATTTTGTTGAGTTGTGAAAAATCACAAATTTGTTTCTTCTTGAATGTGTTATACTCTCATCCATTCAGTCTTTCCGATATGCCCGTCGGATAGCGGAAGTTAACGTAAATGATCGATTACCTAAAAAGAAGCTACGATCCTAACTTTCCACCTTCGGGTCTTTTCCCTCGCCATAATTTTTTCCCTCAAGGAATTTTACTCTGTTTTACATTATATAATAATTGGTCTTGCATTCAGCTTATCGATTTTGAGAGCCTAGTCCTGTGCCGTATTCTGATGCGATCTCCTTTATGTAGCTTTCCCCCCATCTAACAGCTCCTTACTGAACAAAAACGGTTTTAATTGAGTCTATTCAAAGAACTAGCCAATATTTTTCCAGCGGTAAGCACGATGTTCCTAATTCCCCCTAGTCCCCTTCTTAGACGCTTTCATGTGCATCAGGTGTTAAATTTTCTTTTCATAAGCTACAATGCTCATAATCGCGCATTCTGATGTCATTTATGCTTAAAAAAAATAAAAATTAGTTTATCGAAGAAAGAGTAACAACAACAACAACAAGTTTTATTGAAAATGGGAAAATAACTAATTACATTACTTTCCCACCCGCAAATAGCTTATGAACTAATCGAAGCGGGGGGAGCTGAAGACATATTACAAAACAAGATTTATATATAGATGGACTAAATAACAGTGAAGACACTACTATACAGTAAATAGAATTTAAACTAACATAAAACAAGGCAAGTACATAACGATTACGGAGAGAGGCTAACCTAAAGTATTAAATAACTTAATAAGAGTGAATTAAAGGTGTCATGAGGCGTTTGTGATTTCATGAACTATTTGACGCGGTCCTTTTCTTACGGCTTATGTCCGTTGGTGAAATCGCTACTTGGGTTTTCTTGGATTGAAAAGGGCGGGCTCTTTCTAAACGTGGCGTTGTTTATGGGACCTTAGTATTCAGAACAGAATCAGTCGATGGCAAACAACGAAAAGGCTTTTATGTCGTAAGTTACAGTGATGAACCTTGCCTCGAGATGGTCATATTTTTGTACATACCTTCATGCAATTCACTGTTGGTCTGAAAATTTTTTGTTATGGATGGGGGAAGGGTGGGTGGGGAGATCAGAACATGTACTTCGTGTTGTTTACGAGACATTAAAGTAATGAAAACTGTTAAACAGTCGTCTACAAATCAAAATAGTTGCAAATGCTTACGGGAGGCCCTAACTATATGATGATTAGAAGAGCAATATTTGGAAAGGTGCATGGTCGTGGAGTTAAGGAGATTTGACTAATCAACCAATTTCCCGCCAAACATAAGAGCGTGGCCAGTGGCCCCAAAATTGTGTTCGCTCGCCCCGGGCTGGCTCGACTTTTGGGATATGGTTATGGAGTTATAAACAATGAGTTCATCATCTATATAGCCTACTCGCCCCAAAGTGACTGCATTTCGCTTTTCAGAGACCCATCAGTTACTGTATGACCCTCTCCGATCAGATTTTATGTCCGTGGTACTGGTGGTGAGGTCAGTCCACAAGCAGAGTCATGAAAAACACCGCCACTTGAGCCTTTACATTCAAAACATTCCTGGCTATCGGGAAAAAAGAAGAAGCTTTTAAAAATACTAAATAAAATGTCATTTCAAATTTCACTTTGTCACCGTTCGAAAATTATTGTGAATCAGACCGAATGAAAGTTCACTCAAAGAGGGGGAGGGGGGAGGAGGGTTGGTAGTTCTTAACAGTTCCAGTTAGCTAGAAAATTAAAAGTTACGAAAAATACTGGGCGAACTGCCGAATACATGCAAGAATGAAAAAGAAAATAGAAAACAACTTCCTGTTCAAATTCGGGTGAAACGTTTAATAGCGTCAAGAAGACTGAACTTGATTGAGGTTGTTCATTTCAGTTCCGTTACAGCGTGCAGTTCCTTGTCCTCCTAAAAATAGCTTCGTCTCCCACCGATCATTCCATGTCACATTTTTCGGACTTATTATTCAGTAATGACGGTACGATCAGGTAATTTGACTTGATGAGTTCTTTAATTTCATTTCATGTACTAGTTTTATATCTTACGCTGGAAAGATCTGCCAAACAGTGAACATTAGCAAAGGTAGGTTCCTGTTTACACGTGTAATTATCGAATACCATACAATTTACATAAAGCTACAGTGCACGGTTGGTTTTTCTAGCCTTTTGATAAAAATTGACAACGTTTGCGTTATCTTTGC